CATATAGGAAAGAACAGAATAACCGTTTTCGATGTTTATTTCGGCTCGCTTCGATTGAAAATGCAGCTATTAGTGTTTATGGTCGTATTCTGTAAAAAACGAATCGGTGATCATGAAGAACAAAAGTACTGTGAGGATATCTCGATGAAAACTAGAACTTGAGACCTCATTTTACTACTGAAATGATGGAATTCCTTTTCTTCACGACGTCAAAGTAATTTGGCATGCACAATCAATAGAAACAGTCGACTTTCTCTCTCAGATTCCGCAGGCGAATTAGAAAAAACCACTCATTTTCACCATTTATCGAATATTTCTCTCGTTTCGAAAACGCTGGCAACGTACGACATGCAGGATTGTAGAGCAAGTGAAACTGTATCAGGATCGCTTCAGCACGTAGCCGAGCAATACGACTTAACGATGAAACTACATTGACAAGATAACATATTTTCGAGGCTGGTGGGAAGCAGTCCGGACTCGTGAAGTACATTTTTTCTGCATACACTAGGGTAATGTAAAATACGGTTAGATGCTTCCTTTCGTGAGATATAAGTCAAACAAATCGTCGGGGTGAGTTTCCGAAAAGTGACATATTTGACTTTTCATGTCAAAGTAGAGCTCGCGTGGCGATTTCAAACAAGGGACCCCAGGATAATTTTTTCCGCAGAAGTTCTTAGATTCATTTGCTCTACAAACTGTGAAAGTTTCAGCCGAATCGGAGAAATGTTTTGTAAACGTGGGAGAGATCCGTTGGACACACCCTGCACTTAAATGCAGTACCATAGTGCCATCAATAATAGCTACGATTTGGATTCAAATCTCGAAAATCGATTTGGTCGCCTGGCTGCCCACTGTGCTGAGTCCGCCCTAGTCCAAAATCCTGGCTCGGCCACTGCCGCACGAGTACATTTTCCCCCAGATATTGAATATTTTATTCGTTTTAAATTTAACTTATATCGCCATAGCAATAGTGGCATTGATTGATTATTTTCGGGATCCGATTTAATCATCGTTAATAGCCGTTTAGTTTAAATTTAGAAATATTTTTTAAAGTAAATAAAAATAGAGTAAGCTGCCGCATAAATGATGCCCACAGTCGGCATTTCGCTGTTTAAAGCTGACGCTGCGCAAGTGATGCCATGAACGATTTCGTCTGGCGTGCAACAACTTTTTCTCGAATCATAGGTGTGATAGTAGCCGTCAATAACACAGCATGCGTTGCCTTCACCACTGATCAAGTTTTCGCAGCATACGTGTGTCGATGTGTTGTATGCATTATTCGAAGAGCCTAAACCGCAGCATTCGTCGCCAGTCGACCAGTTTTCGCAGCATTTTTTAGCTCCTGTTGAGTAAGGATTCGGACCACAGCATGCGTCGCCTACTCCAATTATATTCGATGTAAAGGATACATGCGCCGCTGTGTTATAGAATGTGCCAGCGCAGCAGACTATATTCTTTGTGCGATTGTATGGCTTCTCCAAGCAGCATGCGTCGGCATATGCCACAGTACTGGTGAAGCCGTAATACAAGGTTGTCCTGTAGTCAGCGCTTTTGCAGCACGACTGTGTCGAGTTATCATAGGGCTCATAGGTCACCCAACTCGATCCGTAATAATAAACGTATGAGCTGACTGCACAGCATGCATTTCCTTCGCCGGTTACATTTGTCTTGGAAACATGGACAGGAGGAGCGGAGTTAAGTATGCTAACGCATGTAATCTTCTCACAATTAGTCGCAGTTTGCTGCATAAACAAAATCGAAACATAACAAAATAAACCAATTAAATAGCACTGCATTATTCTTTCATTGAATAAGAGAAAATTTGAGAGTTTCGGTTTTATGAGTAAGCTAATGTTATGCAGCGGTATGCGAGCTACGGAACCTGTTTATTCTTTATTAAAAGACTCCAAACTGACGAACAATAAAAATAGCCGAACAGAGAGAAGCAAGAGAAAGAAACTATGCGCACATATATGTGCACGTATAGATAAGAGATGAATGGAGATAAGAGGCAAGAGTGTGGGTGTGAGTGTGTTAAAAACTCAATATTTGATAGATTCAAAGCATACACGACGTTTCGATCTTGCTTAAGGATCTCATCGGGTATCTTAAGAATTCCAATGCTACATTATTATATAGAACGTAAATTCTATATAAAAACAATAGAAGGAGTCCATCCGGTTTGTCGTTTCGGTGGGAAACGATAGAAAAAAAGCTTCAAACTTTTCCGATCGCCATACGTCTACGCCCTTTCTATGAGCCTTAATCTGGTATATATCTATGTGTATCTCCAAATATGTACATCTAAATATTTACGTCTTAAACCTTACGGTTAATCTCTAATCTAATACGTCTTAATCTATACATCCTAACATGTACGTTTAAATATAGTACGTCGTAATCTATACGTCGTAATCTATACGTCGTAATCTATACGTCGTAATCTATACGTCGTAATCTATACGCCGTAATCTAATGCGTCTTAATCTTTACATCTAAATTAATACAGAAAAATCCTCGCACCTCTTCTAGCTTACCCTACCTAACGATACCATGGGATTTTAGCAGTATCATCTGGGATGCAAGTGACATCATCTGAGATGCTAGCAACATCACTAGATATGCTAGTAGCATTACCTGTAATGCTAGTAAAACACCTGGACTTCTAGCAACATTGCCGGAGCCGCTAGCAACACCGTGTAGAATACAACTAGCATCACCTGTGAAACAGCTGCGTCCGAAATTTGCATGTTGAGCTCCACGATACCCAAAGGTAGATGCCACTGTGTACACAGAGACAAGCGTTGGTCGCAGCTCTGCGGGAGGGCTGGGCGCCCCCACGCCGCGACACTAAAATAAAGGGTTGTTGTGGCTACCCATTGTTTTTCTATACATGATATCGTATTACTTATTATTGTGCGCTATCTTTTCTTTTTTTCTTGAGCTTACGTCGGACTTGATTCGAATTTGACAATTGATGTGCGTCTCAGGTAATGCCTCTAGCATTCCAAGTGAGGGTTAAGCGGAGGGAATACTTATGGATGGGCATAAAAATTTATCGATACTGGTTTAGACGTACTAGATTCAGACATATAAGATTCAGACGTACTAGATTAGGACGTACAGATTGGGATATGATAAATAAAGTTGTGCTTAGAACACAATGACTGTGGCTGAGGTATAAGTTTATTGGAGATTTAAACGTACTTTATATTCCTTTCCGCAATCATTTTCTGTTTTTCTATTAGCGTTTCCCAGAGAAATCATAAAGCGGATTATATGAATATAAGACTAGCAGAGAATTCTTCGAATTCTATTTAATAATAAAATCATTTCAGGGAATGGTTTCTATTTCAATTTCGGAGAAAAAGAAAAATAAGTATTATGGACTCCGAAGGACATCTGTTCAATTTAGAGGATCTTTTCTGTGTGCTTTATAAATGATAGGATATTCTTCTAGTACAGAGCTTTTAACGGGTATTAAGATGTTTTATTCTTTATAATAGGATTGCAAGCTATATGTATCGATTTGCCTGCTGGACCGTCGTTTTTTTTTCTTCATATATGTGATATAACCACGTGTGCATTTTTTCCTTTACATATATATATATATAGTTGTTTCATTTTCTTCCCTTCTAATGAACAGACTAATGTCTATATAGACATCTTCAATATGAACCAATTCTCAATCACTAATTATAATTACATACTGTAATTTATTAAGCCCTGAACATTATTTTCTGCCGAATTTATATGAATTGTTCGAATGTTTCATAAAAATCATCATTTCATCACATAGACAGTCAACACTACTGTCTTACATATACCATCGAGATTATATAGCGGACTCGCATACGTAGAGTTTGTCTCATATATAGAGAGAAATGAGCCAATCTATTAGCTGACTAAATATATAGATTAATCTAAATCATTTTCTTTCTTTCCTGTTTATTATACATATCAGTGGCGTGGCCAGGTGTTTTTGACTCAAGGGCCGATTTCCAGCGTAGATATTTTAAGCATTGCGTAGCAATCGGCAATTGAATATTACTTGGGCTACAATTTTTAAAATTTATCACCGCGTTTAATTCGTTCTGTTTTGTTTAACAATGACAAACATTTCCCTTAATTTACCGTTTCATAATCCTACCACATCTGAAAATTTGTTTCTATGCGTCTTTGATGCTAATTTAAATACGCATATATACTCTTCAAGTCACCCATGAGTATTCCATTGTCATTGCTCGAAATTTCTGACTTTGTTCTCGAAAAACTATCATATATATGTTGACTTCGCGTTCATCTACATTTTCTACGTTATTTGTAAACGTTTTTTCATTTCGAAGTTATATAAGCGATATCACTGTTTACCTTGTTAAAGTGTAACGATTTCACTGAAATTACTTCAGTCACTTTCGTTCGATATAGTTGTATACGCTTAAAGCGACTGATGAGCTTTCAGTCACATTTTCCAGAAGCAGAGTTAAGTGACATATCGAGCATTTTGACCCAACAACATCAATGAACTTTAATTATTGCAATCACCCAACCTCTTGGAGCTTCGAACATACACGTCTATCAAGCCCAATACCCCGCCCCCTGGCTACGGCACTGTCTGTACTATATCGTTTTGTTCTAGTTCATCTTTTCGTTATTGAAAAGTTTTTCCTCTCTCAACTATCACTAACTCTCTCGGTGCTGTTGACTGTAAAAGACATATCTGCTTCACCGAAATCGATTTGTATTGCTATTTCATATTATTCTCAATTCTTTAGAAAATTCTATCCGCACAAGCATCTCTGATATCCAAAATCGTCACAAATCAGCAGCCAAATCCACCTCTAGTCTTGCATCATTACACAATTAGCGAATATAGATTCAGTTTTATTATGGTTTTAAGCCATTGAATCAACAATTTTAAAGTATCGCTTTAACAGACATATTATTAAAAATAGTAACTCTATTGCAATCACTGATGATCGGAACTTTAGTGAAGAATATCAACTAAGTATTTCTTTCTCTGATGGAAGTCCTTGTTTGGCCATGTCTTGAAGTCGTTCGAGCCATCGTTGATGCTGAGTGTACATTCGATTCGGAAAAAAAGTATTGCTCATCCTTGCTAACAGGCCCAATTGCATCTCCTCTGTTCTTACCCAACAACCTCCATCCGGTCGTGGTACAATCAACCATGCATGATAGACCAAGAGTCCAAGCGAGCCGCGTGCATCCCAGGCGATTCTCTCGTTTTCAACATATTCTCTCACTTGGGATTCAAGATTCACGCCGAATGTACGCCAAGTGAAGCGAGTATTCTCTTTCAGTATCGGCGATTCGGTGTCAGTGATAAAGACAACATTTTGTGCATTGTTGTAGTAGGAGGGCCATTGGCGAGCGTGAATAAGCCAAGACCAAACATGAGTAGCAGATACCGACATTTCTAACTCGTTACTAACATGTGTCTTACACCGATCAGGTGCGAACTTCGGCGGCCAATGGATGGAGGGTGTCTCCGCGGATGACGACATCGAATATCACTAGTTAGTACTTCGAGAATAATTCAAATGATCAAGTGAACGTAGTGAAATACGTGCCTAGCTGCAAATATTATCTTACTTTTGACTAAAACAAGAACAGATCGATAAGAATTTTGCTTTTAGTGTGCAGTCTCTCCATGGTATTGATTCAAGAAACACAACAACGAACAAGCACACACATTTTTCTTTCTTTCCTTCGTCAACACGACGATACACCGAAGCATATAATTATGGTTATAGGTTTTTGTTGCAAACATTCTACTGCTCTTTCATGCCTTGACATTATGAAAATATATACCAGAAGGTCAATAGCACTCGAAAAAACATCCACTTTAAAGTTCAGTTTTGTGTGCGAGAGTCCCACGTCCACCATTCTTAAGATTTCGACATTAAACAATTTCAAAAAACTCGTCTACCACCCGTAATTGACTTGTTCAATTCAAAGAATTTGTTTTTCATAAAAACTATAATCGGAAATTCTTATCCTAAAACCTAATTTTCAACTAATAATTACATCTCCTTGCAATCACACTAACAAAATAGATGAGATACTGCCACTACGCAACATCAATTTCATCATGGAATCGTAGATCGATTTTGCATAGTGAGGAAAAAGAAAAATCAGAGAACGTGTTGTAATTTCACTTTATGTTACAGACATTGCGCAAGACATTGCACGCAAATACCAGAATATATCACACTTTTTTGAAAATTTAAGAGAAATGATTAACTAGACAGACATTTATCCTAATTTAGCAGCAAAGTATTGTAGTAATAACATTATTTTTCTTTAAAAAAATAAAAAGTACCTTGAATAGAAAGAATGAAGGCTTTTGTTTTTTTGTTGATCACTTAAAGAAAAAAGCCAAGATAAAGTTATTTCAACTGATATTTGCTAAGAAAATCTTCAAATAACTTTACGAAATCAAATATCAATAAAACTTGGATTGAAACTTTTTAGATGATGTTAATCAAGATCAATTGATGAATATTCTCTCCATACCTTTAACTCTGATGATTGACAAATATATGACTGTAGCTAGTCTTCAAGTATTGATCCAAACAATCATGATTTTCTTCCTCATAATGATAGGAAGAAGATTCGATTCTTCGCAGAGCAGTCACTTCTGTGTTTTTATATCGAATTTTTATCGTGATGTATTGTTTCATACATTATTAGTTTGCTCTCCTGTATCAATACTAACTAGTCCAGAAGTTTGCGAGTAAATATTTAGTCTAATAGGATGAACTATACAGGCTGAGAATCCGCAACTTTCATCAGACTCGCTGATGGCTAAATCTCTATAAACTCTGAAGGGGGGGTCAGAAGTTCTCGACCTCTCTCTGTACATTAGTGTTATTTATTGATATTAAATATCATGCTCAAGTGATCTTTTACAAAGATTTCCAAATGATCAGCTTCGTATGATTCAGTGTGTTCAACACAAAGTAGCATGGTACTAAATTCACGTTGACACTCCCAAAACATGATCAAGATATGTGAGTCTAGGTTTATTAGCAAGCTTGTCTTTTGTTTCCATTAACCTACCTACCAAACCACCAGACACAGTTAGAACACTATAAGTTTATGTTGAATAGCTGCATTTGGAAGATTTGATTATTCTGAAAGAAATGGGTGTTTCTCATTTTAAAAAGACAAAAAGTTAAGACGATGAACGAAATAAAGCTTTGCTATTTTTTTATCCGTGTTCCGTCAAGTGCTTATTCGTGCACTAAGCTCACTTTTAATAGTATATGCCAAACCAGTTTACATCCCACGAGTAAGACTGAGCAGAAGTCATCATTGTAGATGACGTCCAACTAAGCGAATTACGCGCGTATATTGTAAAAGAGTTCGGTGAAGGTGAATAAATGGAATCATAGCCTATTAAACCATAGTGTGAACTAGTACCGGCAATACTGGTGAAATATAGAGGGGTTCGAGTAAAATTACAAGACGATGTACTGATGGTTATTGTAATTGTGTCGCTTGAATATATTTGCCACAGGGACCATGATGCAACACCTGCACATTGACATGGAAATGTACATGCTGTTGATTGAGTCGCTATAACAATAGGATAAGTGAAAAATATACGAGTTAACTACTAAAATTTTCATCATTACTGACAAGAAAATGTTCTATAAATCGATTTGAACTGTTATCTAATGCGATGAGATTAAAACGATCATATAGATTACATACAAGAGAATTCCTATCCTATATGAAATCCTGGTCCATTTTTGGATTGTATCGCTACCTACGTAAGCATTACTCACTAGTTGTAGTAGTTGTGCTTGTGGTGGTGCTTGTTGTCGTTGTCGTTGTTTTAGTTGTGGTTGTTGTAGTTGTGGTTACAGTTGTTGTTGTAGTCGTCGTTGTTGTTGTCGTCGTTGTACTTGTAGTCGTCGTTGTTGATGTTGTTGATGTTGATGTTGTTGTCGACGTCGTCGTCGTTGTTGTTGTGGTCACGGTCGTTGTTGTAACTGTTGTTGTCATCAATGTTGTACACGTCGTTGTTGTATCTAGGATTTTCACAGATATGAGAAATTCCTATTTATTTCTATTGAAAAACCTAATCATCGCGCATGGGAGTAGGATATTTGAAAGAACTGTGTAATGCGATACTATTCAATACGGATGTGTCAAATGAAGATTGATTGAAACGTGATTATCGATTCTTTCTATTACCTGATTGACCAGTGATAAAATAGATGAATTGTAATATCACACTTCGAGCTAATCGACTTTTACTATCGATTAAAAATTGGAGCAATATCTATTGCCGCAAAGAAAATAGAAACCATATAACATAAAAATTAAAGTGTCGATCTAAAAGGTCCCACTGCAAGAATAGTCAAGGGAGCAAGTGCAGGTTTGGAACCCTCCGTGCCTCAGCACCTGCAGCACCTTTTCTATAGTGGAATTTACTTCAGTCGTATGGAAATGAATCGGGAAAACTAGTTTCATTTTCAATAGTAGAGGTGAATTTTTTCTTGAATTATTCACAGAATCTGAATGAGATTATTTCAGAATAAAAAAGTCAACAGACAAAGAAAATCAACCTTCGAAATTAACCGTATATCAAATTGCAAAAGGATATATCAAAAAGTTTGATCCTTCTTTTATTAGTGTGAGAACTAACACTGAGCTCTGATTATTTTTCAGAAGTTTACTTTTCATTTTATCACCATTGCATTTGTACAGCTTCTGCTTTCTCTCAGGTATAAAAAAACATTGTACGAAATGTCATACTCCGGGGTAAAAAAACATGCACATAATTTTTTGTGTATTTCATGAAAAATCAATTTTTATCACTTGCCCCCCCCCCCCCCTCATGGGTCGAAAAAACTTTGTTGTTCTGGATTTAATATAGATAGTTATATTTCCATAAAGCTAAGCTTTCTGATTACAAGTATTGTCTCAGTTTTGAATTTCATCGAATAATAAGAAACATATGAAGCACTCTCTTGGAACCTTAAAAAACAGTTGATGACCTAAAGATTTATGAATATTCGATTTATACTGTTTGAAAATAGGTCCGTTCGATGCACAATGTATTTTTCTATCAGAATATATGAGCGACTTATGTATTCAATGTTTTTTCTATCGATAAATTCCAAATATCACCCCGATCGGGTCATACAGTTACAAATACTGCTTTTCTCAGTCTTATGAAGTGTAGCTTTTCGAGATTTACCAGAAAGATTTTCTTACTGGATCCGTAATTGAATGTGCTCTTTCTAATAAAACTGTTTTCAAATAAAACCTCGTTGTAATATGAAGCGTTTTCGCTCCAATACTACTCTTGGAACCGGATTTCTGTCATTTGTGACTGATACTCGATAGTTTCAAACAGATTAGTTCCCATTTGACTGAATATAAATATTATATTTGTTTTAAGTGCAAAATCTAATTCGGTTTAATTATTTCTACAACTTTTGTTTTCAGTCAGATTTTCACCTCTGGTCCCCCTTCAGGATTATATGAAGACAAAATATTTTATTCAAACAACTATTTGATTGATTATTAATTGATCTATTTTATCTCAAACATGATTGTCAAAGTTTGGAAACTTTTAACATTGTCCACATGGGTTTTGGAGAAAGTTTATTTTTTCGTTATCCATGACAGGGACCAGAGGTGAAAATCTGACCGAAAACAAAAGTTGTAGAAATAATTGAACCGAATTAGATTTTGTGCTTAAAACAAATATAATATTTATATTCAGTCAAATGGGAATTAATCTGTTTGAAACTATCGAGTATCAGTCACAAATGACAGAAATCCGGTTCCAAGAGTAGTATTGGAGCGAAAACGCTTCATATTACAACGAGGTTTTATTTGAAAACAGTTTTATTAGAAAGAGCACATTCTATTACGTACTCGGTAAGAAAATCTTTCTGGTAAAACTCGAAAAGCTACACTTTGTAAAATTGAGAATAGCATGATTTCTAACGGTATGACGCAATCGGAGCGGTATTTAGCATCTATCGGTAAAACAAAATTTGAATATCTAAATCATTCTTATATACTCTGATAGACAAAAACATTCTGTATCGAAGGGGCCTATTTTCAAGCAGTATAAATCGAATATTCATGGGCCTTTGGGCCAATAGTTGCTTTTAAGTCTTCCCGAGAGTGCTTCAGATCTTTCTTAGTATCCAATGAATTTTAAAACCTAATATGATATTTGTGATCAGGAAACTTAACTTTATCGAAATATAACTAACTATTTGCACTTGAATCATAACAAAACGTTTTTTCGATCGTTGAGGGGTACTCCAGATGTTAAAAATTGAGTTTTCATAAAATACACAATAAACTCGTGGAAAATAATCAGAATTCAATGGTGATTCTCAAGCTAATAAAATTAGGTGCAGATTTTCAGTGAATTCAAGTTCTTAATTTGGCACACCTCTTTTTGATCGTGCAGTTAATGTATTCAGCAAGATTGAGGGAAAATAATCAGTTTAACAGAAAATTTTGTCGTCCTGTCGTATACCACACCTTTATTTTACTGTTCCTTCTTCACAACTACTAACATCTCTAGCACCTGTTCAGCACCCTCGGCACTTTGTAGTAAAATTTGGTGCTGGGAGCCAGCACTTCCCCCTTGATAATAGTCATATTAGAAGAAACTGTTTAAATCAAATTGTGGCCAGTAATGTAAGCTTTGGCATCCACATTCTTCGAATGTACAAGAATAACATTTTATACTTACCAGTGGAACGGGTAAGAGCAATTGTGAGTGGAATGGTAACTAGTGCAGCCATAACCCCACCGAGTAATGCAACTAGAAACAACTTTACTGCTGATACACACGTAGAGCTTCCTCCAGTGCCCCTATTCAAAATAGAATAATTTTATCGCTGGAAATCTTTCTTTTATTAATTCTTTACTTAGCTGTTGATGGAACACTAGGAATCGTGCTTGACGGTACATTCACTTCGCGAGGAGCATGTGACTGTTGCGGTGGTAAGTCAGGCGGATAACCACGCTGTTTTAGATATTAATAGTTTTTTTCCCAAAAATACTTAGAATGACCTACTGTATTTCCGGTATTAGTAAATGTGGGTGCATAATAGCCAAAAAATGCTGCGCTACGATTTGGCATACCTTCTGTCGTTTTTACTTTTACTTTCTGAAGTAACAACAATGCAAAAAAAAACGACAGCTAAACAAAAACAAATGTAGGTGACAGTCATTAGTTTGCTTTTAACATATTTTTTTTTCTACAGAAAAGTGCATGCAAATAAAGTCTTTAGAATTTAATTGGTGTTTTCTTTTATGCAGCCCAACAAACACAATTCTATATTTTCAATAGATCATACAGATTTTAATGCAATGCAACAAATGCACCACGAGTTTGGAATGAAGTGCCATTGTAAAGAACAAGGACGTGCTTTAGCACCAGTTTCAACGCTTTTATTTGCCAGTGATTCTCATACATGTAGATTTGAACATAATTTAACTTATTCATTATAAAACATTCGATAAATAAATAAATTTTCTCTTACGCCTCACACACCATTTGTTATTTAACACTGCACTCTGTTCATTGTTTTTGAAAGTTTTAATCGTCCAAACTTTGAATCAATTTACATTCAAAACATTCTGTATGTAATCAGCGGTGTTTGAAGTTGACAATTTAAAATTTGAGAGTGACAACAGTATCGCTACTTCGTGTATCAATCTTTTCGCAACCTACACACTATGACCACAACGAAAAAGGAGAAAAATTTCTTTATGTGACGTACTTTCTAATGTACATAAAAGAGTTCATTCATCGTGTCTTTTTTTAAATTTTGTTGTGTTTCAATGTCTTTGGAGATTTTTACGAATTAGCTATCTGATTAAATTTCGCTGGCGCTCAAATATTCGTAGACAATAACAATAATCAATATGATACAAGAAATGCACATGCGAAGAACTTGTAACTAATAATGTGAGGGATGCTATATTTACCAAGAGATTCTAGCAACATTCCATCTCGGCCGATTCAATTTAAGAATTATCAAAGCGTTTGCTTGGAAAATAACAAATTTTTCAACTGAGTGTAGATACGTGCTTTATCTTTAATTTATCGCAGCTTGGATCTACCTATAATTCACCCTCACCCTAAATTGCGTCATTCAATATGTAACAATCAACAAAGCAAAATTGCCGACTAAGTAAATTATTCGTCGTTTTACCATACCGATCCAATGAAGTGGAACGAGTATCATGTTTGAATTAATAAAATGCAATCAGAACATGCTCATTCAAATCACAACAGTGGATCGGCAGGGTAACACTTCAATAACCACAATCCAATCTCCACTACAATAGACACAGAAAAGTGTCCAGCGTCTCCAGAAGAGCCGATCGCGTAGCCGCTATTTGGAGAATAGGATGGCATCGAAGTGCACCTGTCAATCCGAAGAAAAAAGAAAAAGATGCGGCGTCCATCCAACGAGCCAAGATAAATCTAAAAAAATTATCAAGTCGTATGGTGACACCGCGTATTGTTAACGGAATACTTCTTGCCGATTCATAAAGGTGCGAAGTAAGCGGTTGTCGATCTCGGGAAACGAACGCTTTGAAGCGTGATTTTTTCTTTTGAAATTGAGATGAAAAATAAAAGCAAAATGCAACGTATTTATATGCGTAAGAATGAATTGCATTCATCACAATGTAATTACTATGATATTTCATCATCAATCGTGCAATAGACTATTGCAAGAAAGAGAAATGCAAATAATAACATTGACGTGATTGAAAATATTTCTTTTCCTTTCGATGGCATACTTAGACTATAAATGAAATCAATTCAAGTTGCCTGACTTGACCGAAGAAATACTTCATTGGTAGCTGCTATATTTTCGCAATCAATATCTTTGTTGAAAACAAATGTTGAGTGTGGTAGAAATCGAATTGACTCCATAGGATATCTTTTGATGGTCATCTTTGCTCTAACCTAGACAAGTAAAATCGGATCTTTTCGATCAAATCTCTTACTATTACTGAGTAGTTCTCTATAATGAGTAAGGTCATGTTTTATATAGTTTATTTTTGGTTAAATATTTGAAATCATTTTCTTTTCTATTGATAACAAACATTTATATTCGCTGACGACCTTTCAGTTGACACTACATAACCAATGATTCCTTCACATCGATATCCGTATCGTCCTACCAAACCTGGATATACAGTTCCAATTTCACACATGTTTGTCGTGTAGAAAAGTTGCATGGTTATTGAATGGTTGTATCGGTAAAATGGCACAGTATATTGTTCAAATGAAGAATACACATAAGAGTCAATAATTCGAGCGTATAGCCATGCCGTCCGATTGCTCCCGGAGTAGTTGTACCAATTTAATCTTTGTGAATTGTGTAAAGATGGTAACCATTGACCGAATAACCAAAATATCGATATAGTGGTACCAGATTTCCTTAATAAATCGAAAGGTTCTATTAGAACGAATTTGAAAATCGTACCGGCAACACCATATGGAACAGCCAGAATAAAAAGTGCTTGTTCGATCGTTGAAAGCATCAAAGCTACAATAAATTTGTTACTAATGAATGCCGTTCTTTTACAAATTATATATCAAATGCATACGCTGTAAAAAAAATTCGTAGAATACTAAACCCTTAAGGGTTGATGAAAGTGCAACGTATAATAAACGCTTTTTCCGTTTTTGAAAATTTACATAAACCCTTAAAGGGTTTATGATTATGTGGAAAATACCCTTTAGGGTTTATGAAAATTTTCAAAAACGGAAAAAGCGTTTATTATACGCTGCACTTTCATCAACCATTTTTGGGTTTAGTATTCTACGGATTTTTTTTACAGTGTACAAAATATATATATATATATATTTATATAATTATTCATAATGTTCATATATTTCTTGAGGTGATATTTATTTATCTGGTATTCGTGTGAAGAAAGAGCAGCATGCTAACTGAAAATGCAATTATTGCCTACGTTTCTCATAATTCTTTGTTCTGGATTTACATATGAGACTGTATTTCAAGTCGTATCAAAAAAAGGTTTTTTTAATACAGTGAATTATATGACTCTAGTAATTAGTATCTCTTTTAGCTTTTATTTATTCTACAGCACAAGCATCTCTTGAAGATCCAATACCAATATAACTCTTTGTGTAGATAGTAATCGTAGCTGCTAGCATCATTATTCACGAGAAGCTACGACCTTTGCATTATCAGTACTGGAGTTTTAACAAATCGATACCAGTGTGTGCCAATCAGGTTACCTTTATGCTGATTTCGAAGAATTCTAGCGAATGTTATGTTTGAAGATCTATGAAATAATATTAGCTATAGCTAGTCCGCTGCCAAGTTTGGCGGGTAGTTTCTCTTGAATCCCAGGTAATACTTCTGAGATCTAAGGTAATCGTTGTGAGATCAGAGAAAATACTGTATTTATAATTATTGATGCATTCAGTTAGTGTGGATTTTTCAACAGTCACACGCATACCCTCCTAGAAAGTAAAATTTAGAACCGATTGAGAAGCTGACATTATTTGGGTAAACTCAACTTTGGTCGACAGTAAAAATGTCGACAGTTAAAAATGTCGAAAGTGCAAAATGTCGAAAGTGCAAAATGTCGAAAGAAATTTATAAAAATAAAATTAAAAAATCTAAAAAAAGGAGTGTTTTGAAAGATATTCGATGAATATGTTATGATTGTAGGCAATGGCGGATCTACCAGTTAGGCTACCCGGCCATCGCCACCCCCCTTAAGAAACTTTTTCGATTTTCTCCAGCAGAAATGAAACAGAAAATAGTCGTTCTGTCTCAACTAGACTTGAAAAACCGTTGTTTGGTCACGAGCGCCACCCTCTAACAGATTTTCTGGATCCGTCACTACTTGTAGGATCGATGGCGACTTATGTTCGTTTAAATCTATCATTGGTCTATCAGATATTGGTCACTTAGTACAATGTAATAGAAGAGAATAAGAAAATTATTCTTCAATTATTCATTATTCGAGTGATAAATATATATATGGAAGCCGCCACGGAATCGACACGCAACATCAGCAGTGATTTAAATTTCATTATACTTCGAATAAGGGACAACCTCTTTTAATAATGAATCAATTCTGAACACGGCATTTTTCATGAATACCTACTCAGTTTTCGATATTTTTACTTTTTCGTTTTTTCGACATTTTTACTGTCGACCAAAGTTCAGAGATTCATTATTTGCTCTCTTACTTGTCAGTGCCTGAAATAGACTAAAAGATCAGTTCCACTACTTTGTGTGATGTAGTGTGATTTCGTTGTTGTTTTCTCTATCGTGTGCTTTCATTTCATCTATTTGCATCCTTTCGTTCTGTGGATTGCTCTATTGCATCTATACATATATAGATAGATATATATATATATATATATGTATAGTTTCATGTGCAAGTAGTCAGTACTACGTTCCAGTTTCTACTTTCCTGCTACTCGTCCTGTTCGTTTCTTTCTTTCAACGTGTTTTTCTGTTTCTGTTTCTCGAGTCAATAAAATAAGTTACTGACCTTGACCGCTCTATTTCTATTACGTAATTCGTAATACGTGACACTTTGGAAGCATAGATAATTTTTCGTCTATTAGAAAACAAGAATCAATTTCTTTGTCGTCGTTTTATTATGTGCTAGTGACAGTAACTCACTGAATATAATTATGGGCTATAGTTGGCAAATGTAATAGGCAACTCCAAAAGCGCTGTGGCTGAGCAACAGACGATTTGAACCGAAGAACAAATCTTATAACTATCACTTATTTTTCATCTGAATAGCTCAAGTGATTTGTTTTTGAAAAAATGACTCGTTCTTATTCTGGTTGAGACGAAAGGCGGATGATTATATGCAAAATATACAGACACTATTGTACCAGAAGTTAGTATATTTTGATGAATCTAAATCTTGCGTACTTTCTCTTCTTTTCCTCTCTTTTATCGTCTGAAGTAAATTGCAGTTAGACGAAACCGTTTGAGTAGATCGTGAATATTTTTATGCAATGCAACGCGAGCTGATAATCGATTCAACTTACTCATCATAAAACACTCGAAGAAAAAGATATTGCGTGTCGTACATCACTTGCTTAAGTGCGAACGTCGAACAGAAAATGAAGATTGAACCATGTTTTATATTTATTATTATGAAAAAAGAATTGGGAGTAAAAGGAAACATTTTGTGAATTTCTTATTGCTTCAATATTTACTGTGCAAAACATTTTTAATATTGAACAATTCGAAGTATGTCAAATCAAACAAGTTTATTTTAGTAGGGCGATAAGAGTAAAAGAAACAAAAATATTTATATTATTCCAAAATTATTCCTTTGTTTTGTTGATAAACGACATGATGGGCATAGACAACGCAAAAGAATTTGAAATTTACATCGAAAATATTTACTAAATATATAAAATATAATTGGATTGAAAGCTGTTGATGATAATACCAATAGAATTGTTACAATGAAAAAGAGACGATGCTCGTAAAGATGATGCGAATGATTTATTTGTGTATAGATAAAATTAATTTGTATTGGTGAAAATGCAATAAAATAAAGTATAGCAACAATTAATATCATAATAATAGCTTTTCTACGCGCTTTATTTCCATTATTGTTTGTTGCTTTTATAACACGAGATACACGCTGTGGTGATAAGCTAACGGTATTGTTATTCATTAAAGGTGATGGTAGTGACGAACTGAGTTTTGTATCGGAATATCGTTGCAAAGAATTGCTTATAATAACTTGCTGTATGGCTTGTGCATGACCATGATATTTTACAGCGCGATCAACCAGAAAAATTTTACGGCAGATTATCAAATAGAGAATTGTCTATAAAAAATTTTCAAAAGAAAAATATTATACAATAGAATTAGTAAAACTTCAAAAGGAGCATCCTAAACTTAACGCTTCATAGACCAAATCTTTTATTTTTTGTCGCTCCTAAATCAATCTGGTTTAGTATTGTTGGGCTTTCATTTCATTAAATGATTGATGAAAAAAGTAATTGCAATGTAAAATCTCTCTTGAGTGAACATCATCGGGACTGTTCGCAAATGTTCGCAAATGTTCATCTATGGACGATGTCATGTTTTGCTGAATATCTTTCAATCGATTTCTTTCATTTAGTGTAACATGGAGTAGTGTCGTCTCCTTGAGATATGCACACCCACAATCAATGACCCCATAAAGTTGTATTTTACCTGTATAAAAGCTGGCAGAAAAAAGAAAAGAATCGACTCTGCGTATTTATAGAATGTAATTAAATGTGAATCAATCCACTGATCAGATAAACCACAAACGTAATACTGTGGTCGATTGTGAAATGGATGTAATTCAAGTAGGTATAGATTTGGTAAAGCCATAAGAAATCCTAAAGACCATATTAGGATAAATATTAAATAAAGACGTTTGCGATGATTTATTTGAGATATTTTAATAGGATGAATTATTGAAATATACCTAAAACAAAAGAAAACTCAAGATTATAATATTAAGAAAAACTTTTTCACCTTTCAATACTAATAGTCAGTAATGTTTGTACGCTAACATAACAACCAAATACTTGTGAAAAACGAACTATTTTACAAAATGATAAACCAAGATACCAAGCCGTCGGCCAGTAAGGATCGAATGAAAATTGTGCTATATCAAATATATTAAAAATAAGTATAATTAAATCAGCATATGACATATTGACAAGAAGTAGATTCGTTGATGAACGGTGTATATTTCTATGATTAGTTATTGCTGATAGTAAAACAAGACAATTACCAAATAGACCAATCAAAAGAATAATTATAAAAAGTATAACAAGAAATAGACGAAGCCATTCCGATGGTCCATTTTTAATACTCATTGATATTGTCGTATTCATTATGAAGGCGTTTGTTTTCCCTTTATTGTTTATTCAATTAAATATCAAATGACTAGAATAGAAAAAAAAACAATGAACTATAGAAACCGAACGAGAAGAATTGAGAAATATCTGTATGAAAAATGTGGACGAAAGAGTTCTTGTTTTTTTCTTCTGGCATCAATACTGTGATGAGAATCCATAGAGAATAAAGAAGAAAAAAATATATGGTTTATCTCCTATTATTTATATTGCATTGAAACATCGAAATAAATGTTCTTCTGGTAACGACGTATTTGTGACCTTCTTCAAATAGTAGATAAGTAAATTACTTTTTTCTTCTTGTTTTTCGTACTTATATAAATAAATAGGGAAGTAAAACTAAAACTTACATATGCATGCAGATCAAATTCTAGGGCAAATTGTAAATAACTATACAACTGATCAAATAAAATGGTTCACAAATATTTAAAGAAAAAACAATTGCTCAACTATAGGAGAGATGATTATCTACAAATAGAAAAGAAACGTTCCCGTTTAATCTATAAGGGTAAATGAATAGATTTCATAGGAAATAATGAGGCGACGCAGCGAAAAAATTATAGCGAGAAAAATGATATCATCTTACTATTTCACACTCATTGAACAACGTTAATATTGAAATCGGATCAAGAGAATAAAATTTATGTGTAACGAAAAATATGATAATTTCTATTGGATCGTGTGAATAGGAGAAGACTTGATATGTCAATGACTTGTACGCTACATTTCTGGTGCCATTCAGCTGCAGAACGCAATGACTAGAAGAGAAGAGAAGAGAAGAACATGGATGGTATCGATCAATTTTCCTTTATCATTCTATCGATTGATGAAGAGATTTTTCTGTCAGCCATTGCATCGAAGTGGGTGTATAGTCGTTTTCATCTTGTGAGTCCTTCAATATGTGGGTGTATATGACATCAAATTACGGAATATTTTTTGTTCTCATCTGCATACGTCTTCATTATCATCGGTATGGCATATATTGACAATTAGCATTTTATTTTTCATAGTTCTGAATATATTAATTAGAACGAGAAGATAATGAAATTTCGAAAATATTCTAGAACTGGTGCAGAGTTCTTATTAATACATTATTTTCATATACACGTAGCCTTAGCGAATGTCTTTTTTTTTTTTTTTTTTTTTTTGAAAAGTTCTCAATTATCAGAAGTGCATTCGATCCAACAATGGAATATCTAAATAAAGTCGTATTTCTCAATTTTTTACAGCTAATGTTTCCGGAGTTAGACATAGATTAATGAATATTCTCCGTCAAGCCTTCACGTAATTAATATGATAAAAAAGAAAACTCACGTTTTTGCTTTTTTTCATTATTCTCGAAGAAAAATATCTTCCGGTACTATATTTAGAAAAAGGAAGGTGTAGAAAATAATTATAATATGTGACTTTTTTCTCGTTATCCCAACAATGAAAACACAGCATTCCATCTTGTTTCTATTAAAAGTCATTGAACAAAAAAAAAAATACATACCCACGCATGATGTTGCTTTCATATGAACATGAAAATTTTGCTGACAGGATTGTAAAATGATCTGTTTTCATAATAAACTTTTATTATAAAAGTGAAAATAATTCATATTTTTTAATCTTGATTAGTCCTAGACTATTCCCATACGATCTTTGATTTATCTAGGAATACAATGAAGTCATTATAAATACATTCTGGGTTCTTTGTTGGTGAATTTTGAGTTGAATAGATGCATACTATCTATTTTTCCTTTTCTGATACATTGAAAATATAGAATCAATTGCTCTCGAAGGAAAAACAAATTAATCATTGACAACTATCATAGAAGTGTAAAATTCTAATTAACATCACCATAGGCGAAGAAAACAAACTTATCTGATTGTTCAACTATCGCATGAATGTCCTAAAGAAATATTTTTTTTATGCAATTATTACACATTTGAATCTTCTAAAGCTGATTCATCTCCTTAACTATGAAATTCTATAGAACGCGTGTTCTCTAGCACATGTCTAATACAATAAACGTGACGACTATGAATAGTTGGAATAATTGATTGTGCTGTAAATTAGATAATATTACAATAAGAGCTTCCAAGAAGAAAAACATATTTAGTCGATGCGAAGTTATATTGAACGTTTCAAAATTATACTACTCGACAGATTCGCCTTTTAATTAAAAGAAGATTTTTGTTTATTTACTTTTTTTTACCGAAACAAAATAATCATCTATGAGAAAAATTAAGTTAGTCAAGTTTATTAGACACACCGGCCGATCGCATACTACCCCTAAGAGCTCGATGTTGCGAAGCGAATTCTTTATCGTATAATTTACGTTCTTCGATTCGTTTATTTTCAACAGGCTTATAAGCTGCTTGATTTTGTAAAGCAATCCGATAGATAGCATCGAGATCAGATTCTTTATGGTCTTTAATATATTTGCCTTGTATTAATTTCCGTCCATTGGCTGTGCCGGCAGATGAAAATGAATAATTTGAAGATAGCTCAGATGAATTTACTTGTCGTGCGGTAATCATTGAACTACTTGGACGCCCACCAAGCATAGTCAATAGTGGATTCACTCGATGCGAGTCAGGCGCTTGTTTATTATTTGGCGATGTTTTCGGTCGAAACATATTTCCATCGATGTTAAAAAGCGGATCGGACGATCTTTCAATTGCAGGTTCTAGTAATAAAAGTAAAGGACGATATGGTTTAGCTGAAGTTTCTTTTAATGATGTCGATAAACTGAGTGATCCTGGCGTTGCTTTTCTACGAATTGTTGTAGTCGGTCTTTGTTTGAATTTGAGTGACTCTATAAAATATAAAATGAAGGATCTCATTGGTTAGTTTAGCAGTTTATTTCTCTTGTTTCTAGGCCACTCAACACTGACACGAAAATAATAATTGAGAGCTCGGATGCAACATGTTCTCCACACTACATGTGGCAATCGACCCACACGCTTATCCGAACGGAGAAATCAATATTGTACTCAAATGTTTGCGCTTTCTTGAGATAAAATTAGCCTGTAATTACAAAAAAAGGGCTGAAGTTTTTTCGTTCGTTCTGTTTTTTTGTGTCATGACGTCTTCAGACGAGCAGTAATTACAATCGGCGCCTACAACATTGAAGTTCTGATTTGAAACTTTTAAACAAATGAACTTTTTTTTATCATAGTCAGACTGATGAATTCATTGAAATAAAATTTTTGTTTAACAATAACTCAAAAAATAACATATTGCAGACAATGAAGGTTAAGTCAATAGGATCATGTGCAGTTGATTTACTAACGAAATTAATAAATTTCAATATGCGCTAAAAAAAATCAATAGAAAATAAAGTAAATAAAATCTTGTAAATTTCTTCCCATAAAGAGACAAAATGCCGACAAGTTCATTGATAGAAAAATAAAACAAACCTATATACTCCTGTTCTTGATCTAGCGCGATTTCATCTGCATGTGCTTGTTTCCAAGCTTGATAGGATCGATTGGGTTTGATATATCGGACAACATTGGTAAAATGATATCTTAAACCTTGTTCTTGTCGACGTATTCGAGCAATATGTGCTTCTAAATCGTCATGTAACACAGTAACACTACGTTGTAAACGGCGATGTTCAAGTCGATTGAGACGTGTCGCTTGAATTTGACATGCGCTTAAAACAACTTCGCCTTTCGCACTCTTCTTCATATTTGATTTGTAATTTCTTTTCTTTTTTTTCACTTTTTTTAATTTTATTTTATGAAAATGAAAATGAAACCTTAAACTTTCTTTTTTTTCTCTCTTTCTTTTGGCGCATGATAAACACAATTGTGATATAATGACGCACGAAGAAAACTTTAATCAAGATTCGGATCTCGTCAAAATCAATGATTCAAGTCAAAATTACCCAATTATTATCTATGCTCGTCAACTCAATCAATACTATCATACACTACTCGGTAATCCATTTCAACGATTAAACTACTATGATTCATCCACAGGACAATATTGTTTTTGTCGAACGCCTGGCATTATTAATTATATAATTACATATTATCTACAACAGGGTTGTCTATTAACAGAAGTACATTATCCACCGGAAATTCTTTATGACGAACTTGTATTTTTCGGTTTTAATATACAAATTATTTATGATATTGTATCGAATTGTATTACTATTAATTATTATATTCCATCGGGTAACATTGCATTATTATTTTACAAATTTGATACACTTTTACTTCATACAAATATGCAAAACAGAAGCCCTAATAAGTTGAAGCAAAGGTCGATTCAAGTTGTTGCTCATATTATACTAAATTCAATAATATGCAAATTGCATTATGAAGCTTATAAAATACTTTCGTTAATAAATCTCGAATTTTTGATAGTAGCAGAAAAAAGTGTGTCAATCGATCATTGATTATAATCAGATTTATCAAAAAAAGGAGCAATTCTAATGTATAAATTGAAGCCGAGAAGATGTCTAAAAAAGTTGGAAAAGTTAAAAAAATGTGACCTATGACAATAACTAATCATTGATTTATTTTAAAAGCTTTTTGCGTTTCTAATAAAGTTATTTTTGAAAAAATCTTTCTTTGACTTCTTTAAATGCCTTTGAAAAAGAAAAGCTTTCACCTATTAATTAGGTAAATATCGTCGAGCATTTTGGTTTACATTCGATTCTGATATTTCAAAATATAAATTCTATCTAACTCGAACTATCACTTCTCTTATTACAATATGTTCGGTGATAACATCTTTAACCTTTCTCGAAATTGCCAATAATTTATTTACTCATCATGATCAGCAAAGAAAGTTTCTTATTAAAAAGGCATTAGTCATCGAAATATTGATTTTAACATTCTTTTATTTTGAACTAACAATACGTTATTTTATTCGACCGAAAATTCAACAAACAACAGTTGTTCTAATGTTAATTAATTTCGTCTCGTTACTTCCTATTGCATTGTTTCTCTTTATTTGGGTAACGACAAAACTCTTTTTCTATGAATAAAATATTCTTCTCCCTGATAATTAGCCAATACCATCTGCATGGCTATATAATTTACTTGTTCTTCAATTGGCTGCTCGTATTGTTCGTAGTGTTCGTCTATCGTCATATGCTTATCAAATAACGCATGCTTTAACCGAACAATTATCAATTTACGTAGAGTCATTTCAATCCATAGCATTGATAAATCTTTTTTTTGCTTTACTCATTCTTGCATTTGAACAAATGTCTTCTGTTTCAAATAGAACAAATGATTTTCGATCATTAAGTGAAATCATATGGATTTCATTCAATGCATTTACAGCACTAGGCGAAGGTACAAATCGGCCACTGACATCAGCTGGTTTAATTATTGAATTTTTAACTTGTTTTATTGGTGTTTTAACAATTCCGCAATTCGCTCAAATTGTTTACACAATCGTATCGAATACAATCGATAAACAAAAGATCAATGATGAGAAACGTAAAAGAACACATTTAGTTATGATCGAAGATGAACACGGTAATAAAGCTATTGGTCAAGTCAATGTAGATGATCAAAGAAATGAAAGTTTACCTGAAATTCTCATACAAAAGGATGAATTTTAAGTTCATAAAAGGCACAATTGAATGCATAAATAGAAACCTTTAAACGTGAAAAAATGTTTCTCTCACTCGCGCCATTTACACTACAGCGAACGACGAAGGAACGTTTAATCAATAAAATTACATCATATACAGAATCTCGTCGTTTATCGATTTCGAAGTTAAAAATACTGAATAATAGTTTCTACAATTTATTCCCAAAGGCTTTTTATTCGAATCGGCGTTGTCGTTGTACATCGGAACGAGAACTTGTTTATCAACCGGTTGTTTAAAGAAACAATGAGAATGAAAATACGTATTAATATAGAAGAGTTCTATTTTTAGATGTCAATATGTTTCTTTTTATGCCGATGTAACTATGGTTCATTATGGATTGTGCGTTGTATTGACAGCTGTCTAAAATTGGAGAATAACAGCCATCACTGTTAATGTTTCGATTACTATGCAGCTTGAAAAAAACAAATAAGTTCACAAAAACCAGTCCTTTCAGAGCGATATTTAGCAAACGAATCGAGCGTTCTCAAGAAGATTGAAACAAAAACAAAATAGCACTCGTTCAACTTCGATACTTCTACGTCATGGTTGAATAAATCATTTTTTCTTTAGATTATCATAGAATAATATAGAAAAGTTTTGTGTGCGACAGACGCCACTCCATATGAATGCTATGCTTCGTGGTACATTAATAAAACGATAAATTCTTTCCTATCGATTATATATTCATAGCGAGTAAACTATCTTCTCTCAGGAGCTTTTTAAAATGCACAATCTTTATTTTAACAATAAAACAAAATAATCTGTATCGCTTCGATTTCAGTTCTGCGAATAGAAGCTATTAAATTTTTATAAGGAATAATCACAATATAGTGAGACAGTCGTCGAGTATGATTTAATTTCTCTATTTTCATAGCAAAAATACACCAAAAGGTATGATATGAAAACTTCTTTTATACAAAATCAAAAGAGATTTTAATTATTTGGTGACGATGAATGATATTGAAAACAAAACTAAAGAGCTTCTAGAGTAATATGAAGTTCAACGTGGCTTCCTTAACGATGTAATCATCTCTCCGAAGCTTACTGGTTATTATCTTGAATATCCGGAGGAAATTTCTTTTTCTTTCCAAGTGTGAATAAAAATAATTCAAGTGCTTAGCAATATTGCAAAGAGAAATAATAGGAAAGTGCAACAACAATATTCCCTATTGAGTCTCGTCTCTATAAAAGCATATAATCTAGCGTAGAATCATATACAATATAACTCATTTCTTTTCCCAAGATTATTCGTATTAGATATTATAAATATTATTCAAAATTCTTCGAAGTTTTTCTCAACATTGCAAGTTCGTTAATCTATGAACTCAACCGAAACAATATTCATTGGCCGATTCAAGTAAATTTCGATTTAAAATATAGCTACTAGATGAACAAAACGTAGACGTTAACTGAAGTGTTGAATAGATCTCCTGGGTATTTCTACGATGTGCATGTGTTACCTAGTAATAGAGTTGTCCCTCTCTAGGGAATTTTTATGGACAAATCCAAAAATCTCGGTACTGATATTTTTTAATAACTTTTTTTTTTTTATAGAGAAGATCAATTAAAATTATCATCTTCTAGATTATAATATGAGTTAGTTACAATCCTTGACATAGTACACTTGTTCTAGTTTAGTTTGTAGCATTGAAAATTTTCAAAATTCGAATAGATGTCATTAGGTTTTCGCGCTATTTAAACAATTTCACTATTGGTTCGTGCAAATTATCCACTTGACGTTTAGCTTGTTGTATAATTGAGTCATATAATGTAACACATAAATATAAATATATGTATGTATATCAAATGCATATATAATGCTTCTCTTGTTTGTTTTAGTGTAGGCAAGTGTATGAGTTTATTTTTCATTGTAATGAATAATTTTTCTTCATAAAACTCTTGCGACTAGATGCTAGTAAAAGATATGTCATAGGCTTTGCCTGTTTTTTTTTTAGTTGAAAAATTTTCATTATTATGAATGAATATGAAAGAGTAACGGATATATTAGGTGCTCAGTTATGATCAATATATAAATCTTCTGTACAAATAGCATGGTCAATAATATGGCTGCGTCGGGAAATGAATTAAATGAACGAACTCGACAACTTGAAGAACGTATCATTGATTCACGTTCACCGATATCCATAGATAGTCTTTTGGATTCCATTATTGCACTAGTTTATGATTCCGAAGGTCTTAAAAAGACAAAAAATTTCGATACATTCTATTCAAAATGTAAGTTTTAAATTAAATATTCTCGGTTTTTCTAAAATATTCTCATTGAATTATGTTTAGTTTCTACATGTACACGAGATATTCGTGATAAACGAGTCAATTTTAATGATTTCGAACCGATTAAAATAATTGGTCGTGGTGCTTTTGGCACTGTTGATCTTGTACGACGAAAACCATCGGGACAAGTTTATGCTATGAAAACATTAAGTAAATTTGAAATGGTAAAAATAGAATATTGTCAAAAATCTAACATCAATACATATATATTTATTGTTTTCTAGCTTAAACGCTCTGATAGTGCCTTCTTTTGGGAAGAACGAAATATAATGGCTTTTTCCAATAGTGATTGGATTGTTAAACTTCATTATGCATTTCAAGATAGTAAAAATGTATGATATTAAAAGAATGCGTTTTCATCAGACTGCTTTCTTATCTCATAGATAAGATGTTTACTAAAAAAATCATTGTATCGGTTCGAGATAAACTAAATAGTAAACGTAGAGACTAGAATATTGATTTTTTTCTTCTTCTTAAAATATCGTCTAGATATTGGATTGAATTTTTTTTTCAGTTATATATGATTATGGATTATATGCCCGGAGGTGATTTAATCACATTACTTGAACGTTATGAAATAAATGAAAGTTCGGCGCGTTTTTATTGTGCTGAAGTGGTACTCGCTCTTGACGCTATTCATGCTATGGGTTATATTCATCGGTAGAAATAAAAATTTCATTTTGTTTTTTTAATTATTAATTATATATAGGGATATTAAACCAGATAATATGTTACTTGATGCTCGTGGACATTTGAAATTAGCTGATTTTGGTACTTGTGTTAAAATGGACAAAGTAAAAAATCGAAGTGTTTAGCTTTTTGTTTTTTACAGAATTTCATTTATTTTTCAGGATGGTCTCGTTCGATCTGATACTGCAGTTGGTACACCGGATTATATTAGTCCAGAAATATTAAAATCGCAAAGTACAACGGGAGTTTATGGTCGTGAAGTTGATTGGTGGTCTGTGGGTGTTTTTCTCTATGAAATGCTATTTGGCGAAACACCTTTTTATGCTGAATCATTAGTTGGAACGTATCATAAAATAATGAATCATCAAGATAATTTATTTTTCCCTGAAGAAATTCCATTATCAAGCGAAGCACGTTCTCTAATATGTGCTTTTCTTAGTGATCGGTAGGTTCTTTTTTTTATCTCCTAAGAAATCGACAGTTAGACTCTTCTCGTTTTAGATCGATACGTTTGGGTAAAAACGGTGTTCTAGAAATAAAAGCTCATCCATTTTTTACTAATCATAATGAATGGACATGGGAGACACTACGAAAAGGTATTAATTCAATAAGAAAAATCATTATGTTTTTATTGGTGGTAATTTAGCTACTGTACCCATTGTTCCGCCGTTAACCAACGATGAAGATACAAGTAATTTCAATGAAATTGACAAAAACGATGCATCCGCCGAAGAATCATTTTCTGTTAGTAAAACATTCGTTGGAAATCAACTTTCGTTTATTGGATTTTCTTATTCTAATGAACAACAGTAAGTTTTCTAGTTCAATAGTTAACCTATTTTCTTTTCGTCTTCCGAGAAAGCAAATCCCATAAGGACAATAGACTAAATGCAATTATTTTAAGAAATAATCGTCCATACTCGAGGGATTTCCGTTCGATTTAACGAACCAGATGAGTACATCTCGACCCATAATTATAAAAAGTCTACTGGGCCGAAATTTAAAACAAAAAGAACGTCTCTATTAAGTGAAAACTTGTATTTATATCCGATGAAAATATTTTCAAGTCGAACAAAACTACTAAATATTGAATGTTTCTCAAATACTCACAGGATGATCTTATTAATATAATGAAATATTTCACTGAAAGTTGGTAAACAGAAAAGATGATATTGTTTAATGATCGACCTGCCTATGCCTTGATGTCAAAGTACTGGTAAGAGGTATAAATAGGCGTCATATAGAGAGCCGATCGAATCCGATAATGTTGTGCTCGGATCAGGCTCTACGCCTATAAGAAATTTTCAGTCTAAGAAGAATTTATTCGTTCGCACATGTTGATGAATGTTTATTTTTAATTTAGATTATTTCTCGAACGGCGAGCAACGACCAATGTAAGAATTGAATTTGGAATTTATTTTATGAACTAGTTTTGTTTTAGTTTAATAACTTTAGTAATAGCGAACTCGAACAACGTATACAAGAAAATGATCGAATAAAAAATGAATTAGAAATTCGTGTCCGGTAAAAAATATAAATTGATAAAACGCGAATCAACGATTTTAATTATCATCATTTATTTAGACGTTTGTATGATGATTTAAACGTAAAATGTCAAGAAGAACAATTGTTAAATAGTAAATTGTATGAAATCGAACGGAAAAATGTTATTCTTACTACCGAAAATAAAGAAGTAAACACAAATGAAATTGCTTTTCTTCTTTGTGGACTTACTGAAAATTTTTATTTAATTAGGCTCAACGAAAATATGAACTTGAATTAGAAAATCGTCGAACATTCGAACGGAATTTTGAAGAAACTCAACGTTCGCTTGAACATGAAAAGCAAGCAAAAATTCAAATGGAAGCGATGAATCGTGAATGGATGGAGAAAATCAATGTTCTTGAACGACAAGTAAAATCAAAAATATTTTTCTTATTTTGTTTCCATTGATATATTATAGTCAAATGAAGCCAACGATAAACTGACGATCGAAACAGATTGTAACACTCGGCTGAAAAAACAAAATCAAGAAATACAAAAAGCTTGTGCCAATGTCGAACGTACATATAATGAAATCCATGAAAAATATCAAGATTTACTTGCAATCAAACTTAAACTTGAAAAAGATTTTCTTAGCCAACAATCGACCGTTGAACAAGAAAAAATTGCAAAATCAGTTGCACTGGAAAAAATTCAAGAACTTGAAGGTAAACTAGAAAGCTTCTTTTACTTATTACTCGAAATCGAAGTTTTCTTTTCGTATTAAAATTCCTATCGCATTGAATTATCAAACTAAGAGCTTAATTCATAGCAGACATAGATCTGCGAACTAGTTAATAAGGAAATGTCGATATTACTAAAAATGTGTCACGTACCGAAACGGATAAATTATCTTCTTAATTATCTATTCTAAGTTTTCTATCTCGAGGATAAAAGTTCAACAGCATACGCCTACTTTTCTGTATGTAGAAAGCAGAAGAGCACCGCATTGAACCAGTCTTGTATTTTGCACCATAAACTAAATTCTAAGTAAAGATTTTTATGCTAGCATAACCATTTTAATTCCATTCTACAGTCTGTGTTGTGGTTAGCAGTTCTATTTATGCCTTAGTATAACCATATTTTGGATTCGAACAAATGAAGGAATGCTTTCGATTATAACTCAAGGTGATCATCATCAACAGATATTGATCCATATCTTCAATATGGATCAAATGTGTCAATCGTGTGATTTTATCTTGACATAAATAGCTACGGATCCTTTTCTTATCATCAGACTATTATCTACTAGAACTATTGACTTTGTCTGAAACGAGGCTGTTTTTTCCTGTAACAGCGAAATAGATATATTAGATACGACAGCTACCAGTTGGCTCGTAGTATTTTTTCCTCACAAAAATACTCCTATTGATTAACGTGAACAATCGATGGGTACAACGTAGGAACTAAATATTAATTTTGCTTTGCTATTCTCGAGGAAAAACGTCTTTGATGACAAAATTTAATATCATAACTTTTCGTTTTTTGTCTAGAAAAATGTAATTCAATGACAATCGAACTTTCTAAATACAAAGACAAAGACGCATCACAAATGAACGAACTTAGCGAATTTCGTCAATCATGTGCGTTGTTAGAACGCGTATGTTCATTGCTTGTTTGATTAACTTCTATTCATTTTCTTTCAAAACATTCAATAGGAAAAACTAAATCTTCAAGTTGAAATTGATCATCTACGTGCGAAACTTTCCGAAGAAGAAATGGCCCATAAAAAGATCCAAGAGCAATTACTCGTCGATAAACTCAAACACGTTCGAACTGACGAAGATCTCGATCATCATCGTGAAGAAATAATCAAAGGTATTTCTTTAAACTTTTCGATCTGTTTAAATAAAATTTTTATCTTTGTCATTAAGATCTCGAGAAAAAATTAGATTCCGAGCGTTTAGCAACAAAAGCAGCTAATGATGAATTAATGCAAACTCAGAAAAAACTTCGTGCCATCGAAGTCGATCTGAAAGATCTTACAACAACTTATAATCAATTGATTTATGATAATGAATTAACTAAACAATCCAATGGACAACTTATTGAACAAATCGAAATTGAAAATCAACGTCGGGCTCAATTCGATAGAGATATAAAACAAATACAACAGGAATTAAATAATACTTTGAATAGAGAGAAACAAGTTCATAGCGAATTACATCGATTACATCAAGATAATGAACGTTTAACAGAAGATTTAAATCATATTAATGATGAATATAAAATAATAAAAACAAAACTTGTTGACTATGAAGAACAATTAGAAGGTTTGCTTTGATCATTGTTTTTTCTCATGTTCCTAAACGGTACTGTGTATTTTTAGTTGAAAGCAAATTCTCTGTACTTTATCGTACGCAAATGCTCGAATTAAAAGATGAAATCAATGATTTAACTGAAAAATTACGACAAGTTAATAATGAAAAACGAAATGTTGAAGACGACAGGTAAAAATTTTGTTTTAATTCTATTTAAAAATACTATGAATAAATATTTTAGGGATAATGTTGTCAAACAAATGGAAATAACAAATATTAAATTAAAAACTGAAAGTTTAAATTTAAATCTACTGCAAGAACAATGTGCTGAATTAGAAAAAGAAAAGAACTGCATGAATGTCGAACTTGACGCCATACGGAAGGATTTCAACAGTCGATTGAGTTTACTCGACTCAGAAATTAATACGGTTAGCTTTCTAGAAGTCAGTTATTTTATTGAAAACAAAATCTCCACCGGTCGAAAATGTGTTCGATAAATCAGGAGCAGAATTCCTATAGATTTCATGTATTATACAAAATTTTCGTATTTTGATTCAACGGGTAGTTTTAAATTAAACTGAATAGTGCTACACATACATCTACGCTCTTTACGTGGTATTATTACAAAAACTCTAAATAGTCTGAGTTATTAATGTTGAATCTGATATGAGAAAATTTGGCATGTCGATGGTACACATTAATAACGTAGATGATAAAGTTGTTTACATAATCCATGCCTTGCATCTTATGATTGCTGTAATTATACGGTTTGAATAAGACAACAGTTAGTATCATCCCTACGATTGTGTACTAAACGATAATGGCAGATAATTTCATCGTTTTTTTTTTCTATAAATGTGACAGGCCTGTCAATCATTGGACACTTCGTTTGCTATGTAATTCAATGATTTGCATAAATCATACGTTTCTTGGAGCAGATCCTATTATGGATTAATGAATGAGGCTAGGCTACAACATAAGTCGGATACTGTCATTCATGTTCTTTAATAAGAGTACTTGTCTAGGTGAAAATAATGTTGAACTATCGGGAGAGAGGTCATAACAATTTCATAAATCAAAATAGTACACTGATCATCTATATTCTTTTTCAGTTTCATGATCGATACGAAAAAGGCCAATATGATCTCGAACAAACAATAAAGGATCGTGATGCAACAACTAATAAACTCCATCAAGTTATTGAACGTTCGTGATGATTTTTATCTGATGATTTTTTTTTATTCTGCTGTGAATTTCTTTTAGAATTGCATGATTTGGAACAGCAAATACCTGAACTACGTAAAAAATTTGATGATGAACGTGCGAAAAAAGAAGCGGTTCGTATTTTTCTTAGTTTTTTAACTGTTAAAATCATTTTTAATTTAATTGTAGGCTGTTAATAAATTACAAGAAATTGTAACAAATCCAATGCAGCACAACCCGTTCTATTCCCGACCGACAGGTGGTAGTAGCCGCCGACAGGATCGTGAGCGTAATGAGCGTAATGTCGTACGACGTCTCGAACAAGCATTAGCCGTGGTATGACAAAATATTGAATTTTTTCGTAGCTTTTTCTCGTCATGGAAATTTTTCATAGGAACGTATGAAATATACAAAATTACAAAATGAAAAAGATGAAGAAGTATCGGTATTATTAGAAGATATCAACAAGTTAAAGCGTGAATTAGACACACGACGAGAAGATATCGAAAAATTAAAACAACAACTTGAATCTCGTGCTTCAAATGATAATATATCTTCAATAGCAGAAGAAGTCGATGATGATAATCGAGGTTAAATTAATTTTCTTTCTAGGAAACCTTTACAAATGTCTTTCTTTGTATTTAGGTGATTTAGAAAGTTGGGTACAAACTCCGAAGAAAAGTAATATTCAAAAGAATGGCTGGAAAAAACAACTCGCTGTGTTAAAAAAGAATCGATTATTATTATACAATTCAGAAAAAGATCAACAACCTGCAGTTGCCATTGATATCGAGTAAGAAAAAATAACAAGTCGTTGATTTTCAGAAGGATTCTCATCGTGTTGATAGATCAATAGACACTAATGTATCATTGCATCCCTTTTCGTTGAGCGTGGAGATTTACAAAAACAGTACGAATGAGCGGGAACAAAAAATATGTGATTTCGCATATATCTAATCGAGACTTTCCTAAAGATCCGTATTTGTGGATTGTGTCATTCGATTTATTCTGTCCTTACTCGAGTAAAAAATATCTTATGAAGTAGAAATATAGTCTATGATTTTTCTCTCTAAGCCAGAATACAAACGATACTTACGTTGATTGATTTTTACACATAATTTATTTATTCACTTTAGTAAACTTTACCATGTTCGCGCTGTTAATCAAGGTAAAATAATCGTTAAGAAAAAAAAATTGACTTCCATAGTTTATCCTTAGGCGATGTACTTCATGTTGACCCAAATATAATTCCAAAAATATTCCAAATTATTTATGATAGTCAAGGTAATTCATTACCGAGTCTACTCTCATCGTCGATGATTCATTCACAAGTATGAATATATATATACATTTATTATCTTATTTAATATTTATTCTGTCTAGGATCAAGATCGTCATAATGGTGAAACTATCGAATATAAAGGCCATAATTTCGTTGTTGTTTCATATCGTATGCGGACCGAATGCGAAGTATGTAATCATCCGTGTTACAATTTAATTTCTCCTCCGCCATGCCTTCAATGTACACGATGTCGTGTTCGTTGCCATAAACAACACTATGATGATAGCGAATTTATTCAGCCATGTCGAGGTAAAATTATAGGGAAAAATTAATTACTTGCTTTTAAATTTTATTTATTTATTTTAGTCTTCGATACACTCACTGTCAAAGAATTGTTAGTTATGTGTGGAAGCGAAAAAGAACAAAAAAAATGGATTTCAAAATTGAGCACAAAAGTACCGCGTCCTCCAAATTCTCAACTTGATTCGACAAGGTATTTGTCAAAAAACGATTTTATATAATTCAAAAACTCGACAGACACAAGAGTCTTCCGGAAATTTCTTTTTCAGCACGATATGATATTCTACTATAATCGGCAAATGAAATACTATACAATTAAATAATAAGTCTTACGAATCTGTTAAGGCACGAGTTTTTTTTTACAATAAGCTTAATTAGAGATTGAGCCCGGGCATAATTTTGTTAATACTTAAGCGAGTAGGCTGAGTCAGCCTGCAGTGTTTAATGGAGTCGCTTATGCTTTTGCTAGGCCTTCGGCAGTCTACTCGTAAGATTTCAGTTTCTCTATCATGTTTTTCTCATTTGTTGAACTGGAGAAAATTTCAGCCAAGGATTAATTTACTAAAATTAGGATTGCATGTAAAGCCTTGATATTTATCTGAAACCAATGCAAAAATACGAGGTCGTGCAATCTTATCCATCGAAAAAGCAATCAATCCCTCCCGAGACATTCTTTCAGATTTCTAATTAAATATACGATTAATACTCTATGCATGAAAGGTCTTAATGAATGATATCCGATAACTTATTCTTGTGCAATAGAATATTCTTTCACGCTAGACTATGATTAAAGGCAATAGTCGACTCCGTTAGTCTAAATAAATGAATAACTTTCCATCGGAATTTTTTTATTAACAAATACGATGATTCTATTGTTTGTTTATTCTTGTTTGTCAGTCAAATGTTAAGGGAAGGGAGTTCTCTTCAACTTGGCTAATAAAAAGAGATTATAATCAATAAAATCTAGATGTGACCTCGGAATAGAAATTGATTTATCTGTGACATAGGTTTCCTTTCGGGTTGTATTTAATTATATATTAATACAAGTCTTTTTCAAAATATAAATTTAATAATTATAATTTTCAAATTAGCCGATCGGAAAAATCCAATATAGGACTTACACATAAGTGCTTCATATTTTTTCAGAAATCGCAATAAAAAGACTTCAATCTCTAAGCAAAAATCAGCAACGCTACCTGCTAAAACTAATCTAACTCCGTGAGTTCATCATTTTTTCCTGATTGCAAAAACTTCAATGCATATATTTAGTACCACTAAATATGCAGATAGTGATGAGGAATGGTATTAAATAAATACACGTATGTTCTCTTTTCTATTTTTATAAATATTCCAGATGCTTTAAAAAATTTCTTTGCTACATGTGTATTGCTCATAATCGGTATGTGTTTTTTTTAATTCGCTTTCGAATTCGACATGTACCATATGATTGGTTTTAAAAAATAAACAAAAACAAAAGGCACACACTAAAATTTTACTTTATGATTATTTTAGAACCAGTACTGCATCGTTTCATTCTCCTAATTCAAATATTAGCTCGTCTACTTCTAATTTATTCGGTAACAATGCTGGTTTAACACCGAAACAGAAATCCTCAACACTTCCAAATCGTGCTAAATAAATAAGATTTCTTTCTTTTTTATTCAAGTATTTTATTAACCGGTCCCTTCTATTCTTTGTATGTATATATTTATATATTAATTTGCACACATCAAATAAAATGAATCAAATAATATGCGTGTGTGAACCAGTTTGATTTTTTGCGTTGCGTTTCTTTTTCTGTCTTCTATGGTGCTGTACGCTTCTTTTTCTTTCGCTGTGCTATTTTTTTATGATAATATAGATCGTCACTACACAAAACTTCTCATTCGAGAATGATTTGTTTTGCAGACGATTTAAGAATTATTTACGTTTACTATCGCTCATCATTGTGTGCGTGTGTTTCTGTTTGTTTTTTGTAAATGTTAATTCGATGAAAATAATAGTTTTCGTCTTAACATCATTTTGCTTTTGCTTGTAATTCTACGATGAAAGATCTCGCTTTTCTTTGTCGAAGAAAATAAAATTAATGCACTTAGACTTTATTTTGGATCTATAAAAAGAGTTTCTTTTTTCTTTGATTTAAAAGTTATCAAGGTCAATACAACATGTGGAGCAACAATTTTCTAGATTACTGAGTAAAATATTTCAGTCAATTCAGTAGAGAATTAGCATGTTTTTCTTCTACCAATAAGATTCATTTTATTATATATATAAGTCTTATGGTAATCTGAAGATCAACGTGAAGTATTTGTTGATGAAAATTATTCTTGTAAACAAATCTCTCGACTAACTACCGATTCTATTTTGATTAATGAAAATGCGTCATAGGAAATACGTATGTTTCATATGTCTCTATATATAGGATGTGGTTATTTTTGGAACTATCAACCGCGTTCTATGTGCTATATGATATTAATAACTAGTTCCGAGGAAATGTGTTCACTATTATCAGGTTCTTGTTTCCGAATCATGATAAATAGATGGTGGTGACAAAAACGGAGAAATTGTTTAAGAGTAGGCAAATATATATTTATATTTTTTGAAGCAAAAAAATTAGGCATTCAACGCCTGAAATTGTAACTCATCCGTGAAATCATGTTGATAATGATCTTTATTTAAAAAAATTTCTTATTTTCTATCATGGAAAAACAAAACATCCTGTCTTCATCTAATGGCAAGAAAGACTATTGTAAAATAATCTCGAAGCAATCAAGAAAATGAAAATTCTCTCCAAACATAAAATAGCTGTTTGACAACCTACGTAGACATATATTGTTTTTTTCTTTTTTACTGTGTTCCATACTTGGAATTAAAAATCATTCATGCAATGTGTTGCACACATTATGACCAAGGGTAACTATCTAAAAACAGAAATTGACTAACCTCGCTTTCGTTTTTTGCTCGCGTTCAGCGCGTCACTGAATATTAATATACGACGAATGTCAGATGATTTTTCTCCTTATATCTGATTTTTATTCACTATCCGTCATTGAAGATGAGTACAGAGGAGAAAAAAGACATGTATACACAAGTGCACCTACACACTCTATATTGATTTTAATCTCGTTTGTCCTCGTAACCCTATGTCATGAGATTTTCTTTCATTCTAATTGAATCGATCTTCGTACATAGATACTATGTTTGTAGCTTCGTTAATCCTTTATTCACACCTAACATATGTGAGAAAGTGATCATTATGCTTAAGGGTTTTCACTCTCTCTCTCTCTCTCTCTCTCTCGATGATAACAATGAAGAGGATCAGTGAATAACTATTCGAATAACAATAAAAAACATCTGTTGTCTGTCTGCTTTTTCTTAGCTAATACAACGTCATGTGTACTGATCATCATCATATGTGTAATATACGCAATCTCACACAAGATATTAGTCTAAACAAAGTGGAAATGTGTGATTCAATAACACAAACAATCCGATAGAACTTACAGATTTACAAATAGGAGAAAAAAGGAATTTTATATTCAACATATTGTCTTCGCTGATTGCTCTTGCTTGAAATTTTATCAAAACCGATGTCATTTGAAGCGCGTTTTGTTATTTTAAACATCATTATTTCTTTTTTTTTCTACGTAAAATATCATTGTAATCAGTTTTCTTTTCTTTTCGTCATCAGCTTACATTTGTTTGCTTTTACTTTATCAAAATATCTCGAGTAACGATCGTACCAATTACCCTTTTCTTTTGTCTTATGGAATATGTAATAGATCTCATAGTATTATCATCGTTAGAATAGTTCTCTCATCATTGATCAACTGATAGATCGGCTGATCAGCACGTGTTTATGCAGATATCCCTCAATCTATAAGGTTTTCTTTCTCATACGCATTACATGAGATATATAGACAAAACTCCAGCGAATAGTCTTATGACAGCAAACTACTATAGCAAATCGTTGAGCGGGCATCATTTTACCCGGGTAAAAAGGCGAAGAAACAGAACGAGAGGAGAGAAAAAAGAGAGAGAGAGAGAGAGAGAGTACACCACTATTGACGCTGATATAAATGGCAAGCGCACTGTTCTATTTTGCTTTTATTTCTATCGTGCGCGCGCACGGCGACTAACGAAAGTGTGTGTGTGTTGTGAGTGAGTGAAACAAGAGAAGAAAAAGAAAAGATCGCCTATCAGTTAACAAATATTTGATGGGACTAAATTTATTCGATAAGAAAATTGAATTGATTTATTATTGAAAATTATTTTTCAAAACGAAGCAGTCAACTATGGACGCCATGTTCACGTTTGTGAGTTGTTTTATTTCTTTTTTCTTTTTTTCTAATTTCGATGCCGAATAAAGATTAGTAAGCTGTCATAAAATATTCGCAATGGTCAGATTTAAGCTCTTCGATCCATATGAACTTTGAAGGATCAGACTGGATTGTATTTATATATTTAGAGTGAAGAAGAATTGAATGCAGTTGCTGTTCATTCATATGACAATTCATCGAGTAGTAGTCCATCAACATCAGCAATGCTGCACAACACCAGCGTTGAAAATACGGGACGAACAACAACACAAGTAAAACGGCCAACATCATTGAACGTATCGAAACCAGCAGGTAGATACGAAAAAAGAAAAGAAAAATTCACAGCAAACAACATATTAAATTATTCTATTTATATATATATATGTATATATATTAAATAGAACTTGTTTTACGTGATTCTACCAATGCTGGATGTAAATCGGAAGGTTCGCCAATAAATAGCGTGCAAAAAAGACAACAAAAAAAGAAGAAACGCCGAACAGCTAATTCATATTCGGATATATCATTTAATGATAAATATAAATTAACTGAAGAATTACTTGGAACCGGTGCACACGGGTATATTCAGAAACAAAAAGAATTCAACAGGCAAATTTTTATTTTTATTTTTTTTCCGTAGAATTGTCAAAACGTGTCGCGATCGAGTAACAAAACAAGAATATGCCGTTAAGGTATGCGTGATTATTCTGTATTTTTTCCCCTTTGACCCTGCATACTTTTTTATATGACAAATGGAATGCGCTAGTTAAGAGATTGACATTAGAACAGAACGAGCGACCCCGAATGCAAATCTACAGAAAAAAAAGGAAAGAAAGAAAAAAGAAGAAATAATTCTATTTGGAAAGACAACATGATGTTGACAGTCTACAAAAAAAATATTTGAAGAAAAGATAAAAGAAAATTAAAAGGATTTTTTTTGTTTTTGTATATTTAGATCATAAGTAAAGCTCGCCATCCAAATCGAACGCGTGTATTTAAAGAAATCGATATTTATTATCATTGTCGTGGTTGTGAAAATATTTTAAGCATTATTGATTTTCTCGAGGATGATGATTATTTTTATCTTGTCTTTCAAAAAATGGAAGGCGGTTAGTTTCGTTTTTTTTTTGGTTTTTGATTATCTTTGTGAATCATCTAATGCGAAACTTTTCTAATATTTCTTTTTTTCAGGGCCATTACTCAATCATATAATGAAACGGGGCCGTTTGACGGAACGTGAAGCTAGTTTAATCGTTCGTGATATTGCTAATGGTCTTAATTTTCTTCATTCGAAGGGCATGTCTCATAGGTGTGTATATAAAAATAAAATTTTCTTTTTTTCCTTTTTCTAAAACTAAATTTTTCATCAATTTGTTTTCAGGGACTTAAAACCAGAAAATATCTTAGTTGAACGCGCCGATTCATTAGTACCTATCAAATTATGTGATTTTGACTTGGGCTCAGCTATTCGTCTTAATAGTAATAAAACAACGCCAATAACAACACCGGAATTGTCAACACCTGTAAGATTTTTCGACAGAAAGAAATTTTCCTCATAAGAAATATTTATTTTTCTTCTCATAGGTTGGATCCGTTGAATTTATGGCACCGGAAGTTGTTGATGCATGGACAAGTCTTGAAGGTTCATTACAGATGTATGACAAACGTTGTGATTTATGGTCACTCGGTGTCATTATCTATATAATGCTATCGGGCTATCCACCATTTTATGGTACATGCGGACATACCTGCGGTTGGAGCAAAGGAGAAGAATGTGAACAATGTCAAAGTCTTTTATTTGAACGTATTCAAGACGGAGAATTTGATTTTCCCGATAAAGATTGGCAATTCATATCCGATGGTGCAAAAGATTTAATAAAACGTTTATTAGTTCGTGATGCATCATTACGTTTAACAGCTGCTGAGGTTCTTCAGCATCCTTGGGTTAAAAATAGTCATGAATTAAATGAACGACCTTTAAATACGCCTATACTTTTACAACGGTAAGAGAAAAAACAGCAATTAAATATTAATTTCAATAAGAATGAATTTCCTTTCTCTCGTTCTATAGTCATGATAGTATTCGCCGTTTGGAGTCCTTTACAAAAGATGCATTAAGTATAACAAAAATGATTGACGAACGTGAGCGTATGATATATCATCGATCGCGCAGTATTGATAGTGTACATCAACGAAGCCGACGATCATCTCGTGATCGTATTCATCAACAAACTATTAATAGCAACATCAATGATGATGATGATGAGGACTATGCCGATGATGATGATGATTTTGATGAGTCTGATTCAAGCGTTACACGAATATTAAAACGACGTATGAGAAAGAAAAAACGACGAGAAAATAAAAATCAAACAACTAATGACGATGAAGATAATCAAAATTTCGATAATTTACGACGACGCTTGTCAAGGTAAATTCAAATATATAAAAATCTTGAGGGTGTGTCAAGGGTGCATTCTATTTCAGCAATGCACATTATGGAATAGGGCCCCGGGATGAGTCATTCACAATCGATTCTGTTTGCAAGAGCCAACCGATAAATAGTACGCATTTACCCTTATCATATTAGTTGACAACGTTAGAGTTTTTGCATTCCGTTAGTAGCGGTTTGTCAATAGATGAAGAAACCTTAGATATGATTTACTAATGAGAAAAAAAAGTAGTCATGAATTGGACGCTCATTTTTTCTATAGAATTACCGAGGCATGTAAAAAAAAGTTCTTTTAATCAGGCAAATAAAAACCTTGAAACTAGAAAGAAATAATTTCCTTTGCTTCTTTTTTTGTTTGTAGTGCTACGATGACATCAGGCGATGAAGACGATTTCTTAGCCTGTAGTTATAAAACAGTTATTCATCGTCCAACAAAACCAGCAGTACAACAAACACCAGCACATGTACCACCATACTTTTATTTAGCTCCAACAGATAATCCAACTCAAACATCAACACCAACAAAACTATTACCACTTCCACCATCCCCAATAGTTCCCGTTCCGACATCTCCTTTATCTCTTTTTGTGCTTCCACCACCACCACCTGTTAATTTACCGATGCATCATCGAGCTCATACAGATACAGACCTTGCTTTTTACAATCAACAACATCTTCTCTATCCCGTTCATTGGTATCCAGTTCCGTCACCATATTTTTATCCAAATCAAAATACTCTACCAGCAAATTTTGTTTATGGTCCAATACATCCACATTTTATTTTACATCCCGTACCTCAACAACAAGTTCGAAGTTCATCAGCTGATTGTCATCGTACGGCAAATAACGGCACTGAGCATCGTGTTGTACATCCAGAACGGGTTTGGTAGTCATAGATAAAAAAAATATAATTCTTTGTCACAATGTCTTTTGTTTATTTGTTTTACTTTTATATACTTTTTTCCCGCGTATAAAAACATATATATATATATATTAGAAGAACGTTATTGTGTTATATGTATACCTTAAGTAGGATAGATTCATTACCTTACCCTGTGATGAGTTCTTTCTCCTTATTTGTTTTGTTTTTCGTCTATTGTCCGTTGCTACGCATTATTTCGATCTGATTTTCAGTATTGTTATTATTCTTCATGTGTTTTTTTCCTCTCTTGTGAACATCAGGGTTGTCGTGATGCGTTTAACGCAGTTTAAGGTTGGGTTGTACACTTGATTAACGAGGTGAATTATTCATAATTTGAGCCGTTAAGTCTCGAATTCAATCATTTCTTGTTTGTGTCTCTCATTCATTCTGTAATTGCGCACTCCGACATATAATATATTTGTTATAGTCTCGTTCCATTTCTATTGTATATATTTAAACGCCTCTCTCTTTCTCTCTTTCGCCTGTTGTTCGTTGCCATTTTTGTGCCATTTCATGCTCTTGCTTGAAGCAACAAAATCTAGTTCGGCAGCGATAATATGATATTTTTCATAATGTATATAGAAATATGTTTCTTGATTATTGCGAAGCATCACACATTCATAACTTGTGAATATTTACTCCACTTTTCTCTTTGTTTTCACCTATACCGGTCTCTCGATCTTCTATTGTTTCTTTCTTTTGTTATTAACTTGTATTGATGTTTTTTTTCTTCTTCTATGTCTGGGATGAAATTCAAACAGACAGACATGCTGTGCGTAATGATGACCAAAGGCCATGTGAGACATAGTTTTTCATTTGTATTGATTTCTGTTCCTTTTTTTTCTCGTTCTTGTATTCTGTATGCCCCTCTTTTTTTTTGTGTAAGCAGATCGTTCGAGTTATTTCATGTAAAACATACGAAATGTCTTGAATAAGAGAAGAGAAAATTACTTTAGCGAGACAGATAAGTAAAAGGGATTAATATTATTAATATTTAGTTTAAGTTAATATTTAAAAAAATAAAATATTAAATTAATAAATAAAAGTTAATGTAGGGTTTTTTTTTGTAGTTGAATTATCAAAGAAAAATATTTGCTATGGTAAAAATAGATTTAGCTGATAAAAAGTATAAAATGAAAACATTATTTATCGAGAGTAGAATTGTGTTGATCAAGCTCGGTTTTGTCAGCTATATTATTCAGGATGTTATTACCGAGCAAGATGTTGATGTTATCTCATATTGATACAACATCAAGTATATCATACGATTTATTGCGTCGTTGAAAAAAATGTTTATTTGAGAAGTTTAAAGAGTAGAATATGTTCTTGGATAATGTTAATATGCATTTATTGCACACTATGGAATATGGAGTCAAAACGATTGATTATGTAAAGCATCAGTATGAAAAGGTCATTATCCTAGCATTTCGTTTCCAACGGCCTCAGTGATTTATGGCAAAGAAATACATAATAAACTTCGAAATTATTGTTCTCGTACTGGAGATAGATTATTATTGTAAATACCATGAGGGAATTGCGTCGTTCGCTTTTTTTAGGAGTAAAAATAAGATTTTTCTCTGTAAAAATTTACACGCTATTTAGAAATCGAGTGATAATTATACCGTTTGCTAACAACTACGATGTATTAAATAGCCATCGGATTGTGAGATCTTAGAAATTTTCTTGATTCTGATCTAACCCAAAGCAATAACGATAGCCTAACAATTTGCGAATAACAGTCTGCTTTGTTTATTATTGTTTTACGAAGAGAAAAAAGAACATGTGAAGCCATTCAAAGTATTCATAGGTCAAATGTCATTGACTCGTGATATAGCACCATGCCAAATTGTCATTCATTCGATGTTGTAAACAAAATTTAACTAGGACGCAAATAGTAGCTAATGTACTTATCGGAAAAAAAATGCGCAGTTAATGTTGTTTTTCTCTTTTGTTAACGAAAAAAAATAAATAAGCCAAATAATGTACACACGCATGTAAGAAGAAAGTGAAAAACGACACCGGTTTATAAACCAGTATGGTTATTCGTCCAACAACTGGTACATTCATTATTCAATCGCACGCACACAAAAAAAAAAGACGTGATGTATAATAATCTAATAAATTGCATTGATCAATATAATTTATTTCTCACTGTCAACTTTAATAAAAATTCTTTTTTTTTACAATGTAAAGCAATCAATTGATAAGTCATATTTTTTTTCATCGAACAAGAAGATAGGCGCAAAATGTTCGATGAACATAAGAATTAAAGTATTGAAGAAATGTCAATTGAGATTAGACCAATAGTCTAGGATTGACATTGATCATTTACTTGGCTATTCAATACAGCAAATATTAATATGTTTTCAAAAAAAAATTCAAGGCGTGATGAGCCGTTTCTCAATTAAACCTTGGGTTGTAAACTTGTTTTCTTTTTTCAACAAAATTATATCTAATAAACATTTACGAAGATCGAATGAGTGAAAGACGAGTATAATTATTGCGTTGTTGAATTCTTATGGGCGGGGCTGTGAATTGTCTCTTTACGTATGCACACCTGCTTTTTCTCTCAACAATTTTTATTTTTGCTGTTATTCATAAATACAACAGCAAGGTCTTTCATTCCATTTTTACTCAAAAATCCTTTCAGTTTCGTGCATTCCTATTGTGCTACACCCCAAGCAGAGCAATAAAATATATACATTTTCATTTTCAACGATTACAGTAAATATTCCTGAATAAAAATGAATATCAAATCCTTTGGCCGATAATCGATTTTCAAGCTTTGGTTTTATGTGTCTAAGATCATTTTTGTTTTCTACTGAAAAGCTTGTATGAAAAAGTAAACACCCACTATTGGTGTGACTCGTCAATGATAATAGTATATCTATCCACGTCATGAATATCACTTTGTATGATGTACACTGATCCGGTTTCTATTTTCTATTTAAATTTGTAATACATTCCTAAGGAAAATGTTTTTTTTTTCGTATCAAGCTACGAACTACAGTGATTTTGCCTATGATGATATTTCTTTCAAGGACATTAATATCGTATGGCAATATTTTAATAGGATGATTTTGTATTTTTTCAAATTGTTTGGTGAGAATATAAAAATCGATTACCCATATTCACCTAACAACTAATCTCTTTGATTGTCTATAAAATCAGCACTCGATTCACTATTTTTCGTTTCAAAATAATACTGACTTTAACAATCAACGAAATACAAGTATCATGATGATTCTACAATGTATGGTCGTTATTATTGCTGCATTGTTTTCGCAACTTCCCTCAAGTCATGCACAAGGCGGCAATGCATGTACAAACGCAGCAATAAACCTATGTAACCCATATCCATGTGTTCAAATAGGTAATGCTCCTCAATGTCTTTGCAATGGTGGTACAGTAGCACCTAGTGCAGCCGCGTGTAATGGTGGTGTAATAACGACTCAAAGTCCAATTATTTTTCCAAATCAATGTGGAAATGCTATATGCCCAGCTAATGCTGAATGTATACCAACCAATCAAAATCCATCACAATATGTATGTGTTTGTGCGACTAACGTTCTTGCGAATCCCGATTGCCCATTAGTTCCGTTACCTAATAATCCATGTGATCGTGCTAACCCATGTCAAGCCGGTAGTCGCTGTGTTGCCAATCCAATAACTCTTCAACCAGTTTGCATCTGTCGAACAGGTACTTATGGGCAAAATTGCGGTTATCCATGTCGTACAGGATGTGATATTAATTGGTAAGAGTAATTATTTAATATGGAATTCTAAAGAAATTTGTTTTTATATATGAAAGGTGTTATAATGGTGGTCGATGCACTAATGCCTATGGTCAACCATATTGTTCCTGTGGACTAAACTATCGTGGTCGACGATGTGAACTTCGATATAATAGTCAAAATTATGTCTATTTATATTATAATCCAGGTTCACGTTGGTAAACAATTAATATTTTTTTTGTCATTCAAGAAATGACATCATTTAATAAACGAATAAAACATCCGAAAATAAATTTCTTTCTTTAAGAGATAAATATACGTAAATGTGCGAACTAAATCAATGAGACAATTTTGACTAATAGGCAGGGACGGCGCGAACGGGGGGGGGGCAACTTTGGAAATTTTTGTTTCAATTTTACTCCGATTTGAAGAAAATAGAAGAAATTTTTATTAATTTACTCCGATATATTTTGCAAAAAAGAGAAGAGATTTCTATTGATTTACTCCGATTTTTGAAAAAAAACCTCCCGTTTTCAAGTAACCCCCCTATATTTTTGTTGCTTCGCGCCGTCCCTGCTAATAGGCATACGAGTTATATTGACATGAGTACGATTGTATGTTCATATTACTGTTTTGTCAATCAAAACGATAGCTAATTCCTAGATACACAAGTAACGTTATACAATCGTCAGAAACTTGAAGGAGAGTCAACTCAATTATCTTCGGGGTGTTACTTCAATAGTACATAAGGATTAGATATATGTGGAAGTATTACCAATAGTTGCAGATGATACATGATATCATCAAAACTTCGTTCGTTTCAACTTTTCTTATGGCTCTTTATTTCAGTTGTTTTCTTACAAATGACTATTTGCATATTTTCTTGTATCAAATCAATATTATCTGCAGTTCGTTTAATTTCTTGTATGGACTGTAGGGCAGGGTTAAATATGTTTTAACGTAGTTATTAACACCATGATAATCTTACGGTACAGTGTTTCATTTGATTTTGAGAAATTCTGCGTACAAAGAAAATGCTCCTTTGTTTAGTCCTTGATTCCCTAGCACGGAGCCAGCCTGATCATACATAGACGTTGTATCACTGTCGTTCGATGATTCTGTGCGAAGTATCGTATATAATTCTTCTGCTTTATCGAATCTACCTATGCTAAGTAGCAATTTAACTAATTGCCCCCAACCTTTCATAACTCCAGTTTCATTTCATATAGATTCTCTAAGCTCATAGACTTGCTTGTCATCGCCCGCCGTAAGTTTTAAATCAACCCGATAAAGTGGGCGGTTTTCGGCAATATCGAGCGGCACGTTGTAGTTAGTGTTGGTTGATAAAAAAAAACTATTGAAAGATATAAATCTACCTTTATTATTTTCGAGTTTTACAAAGTTTGCAATCGATAATCCTTGCCCTGTATAAACCTGAAAGATTTGTCCACGATATTGACTGAGTTATTTTTCGTGTAAACCTTCAATTTGTTTCTGTACATCACCAAGAAAAGCGCCTATTCGAGTGATCATATCTCCATCCAATGCTCTTTTAATATGTCCTATTGCACATTTTGTATATGAAGCATTCACGTGTGTACCACCAAATGGCATTTAATGTTTGATAAATGCTTTTAAATTCACCAATAATTTTTATTTCTTAAACATTGTTTTGGCATTCTTCTCTACAAGACTAATCAGATCAGATCAGTCACATTTTGTTGTTCATGTTCCGTTGCATGAAGGATTTCGTTGAGTACTTGTGCATATATGAATGCGGGTGGTAGCTGATTGGGTTTTACGCTAGAAACTCCTTGATTATCGCCAGTTATACTCATCGAGATGTTGTTTCTGTTCAACTGTTTGATAGCTTGCTGTAATTCTTGACAAATAGGATTGATTGATGAATGAACGCCTTTTATTTTGCTTCAATTTTTTACCCATTGATCGTAATATTCCTGATCGCAACGAAAAATGGAAATAGTATCCAATTTTGGCATGCCATGAATTGGTGATATCAAAGTTTCTCCTAGAGAGCCAGAAGAGATCAAAATTACGGTTTCTTCTTTATTTGTTTTTGACCCATTCAATGCATGCATTCGACTGGGTACATATTTGCAATTAATTTACTGTACACTGTTCAAGTGTGTGAGTGTATACACCGACAATCGGTAGTGCTTCGATTAATATTTTCATCAACCTATATTATCAAATAACTTTCGACACTGTTACGTCTGGACTGCATGGTAGTCTGTAATGGCGGTGTTTCCAATGGCTGATTACTAGTGGCGTAACCAGCAAATTTTCGTAGAGGGGGCTCAGTCCCCTAGCCCTTGGAAAGTAGAAGAAGGCCATTTTAATTCAACTGTAACAATGCGCAATGCCAATACCTGAAAACGTTTACTTTTTATTAGCTATAATTCAATTAAACACGTATGTTATGAAAAATATCGCCTTCTCCGTGTTACACTAATTATTGTATTGTATGTCTATTTATTACAATTTTGAATTTGAATATGTTTAGATTTAAACAGCAAACGCTAATGCTCTCTCTTCCTTTATTCTTTTAGAGAGAAGCAAAATAAACAACACTTTATCTTTTAGGTGGCAACAATCTAGGCTATTGAAATTTCAGATAGAAAATTTCGTAGAGGGGGCTCAGCCCCCTCTGGCCACCCCCTGGTTACGCCACTGCTGATTACCCATTATATATATATATATATAATTTATGAAGTTGATCAGTATCGGATAATTTTATACTCGTCACGACCAACTTCAACTAGATTCCCATGAAAATAGTATCAGTGAATCTTCAGTAGTCTTTCCAATCATTGCTTTCTTATATCTACGTAAAAGTCATTTTAGGGCGAATGCATTAGATATCTTATCTAATGCTTTGTCTATTTTGTTGTTATTCTCTCGAGAAAGGAACGTTTTTCTGGGCTCGTTGAAACAGCATAAGCTATTTAAAGACTGGCTTCGTAGTAACCCTAAAACATTACTACAACTTTGTGTATAATTAAACTGTAAAACAAATTGGACAGTAGTAGTTTCTACGGAAATAACAAAGATACATTTTAAAGACGAATTATTGATTAATTCAGTATTATCTCGTGTGGTGTGTCACAGATATTCCATCCCAATGCAGAAAAACTAAAGTTGACATCCTTCTTTGTACAGCTATAGTTTTAATATTTTATTTCACGTTTTATACTCAGAAGGCATTCGTACAGAACGGCATTTAATTGATGCATTTTGAATATTTAAACAAGAAAAATGAAAAAGCATTTTATTGAAGAATTATATATTTTATTTAGAACATGTACACAGATAAATGATTCATTATTTTTAATGTTTCTGAATTAATTTTATTTGTCATTATCAGATGAACTGGAAGTTGATTTGTCAACTGTTATTGCATCGGCGGTTAACTGATCTGTGTTATATGATGCATGTGAACTTGTTTCATCATCATCATCATCATCATCATTTGATCAATGCCTACGAGCTTCTTCATATTTGTTTTTTTTTTGACTTCATAAATATGTCTCATCATAATTGAAACTCACCTTAATAAAAGTAACAGTTCATTATATAATTAAATGTAGTATTTGATTTACCGAGTCTGACTTTGAGATCGCATAATGGAGTAATTGGATTTTATTTATGTATTGACCATTTATATCCAGTATATCTAAGCCAGATTGAATAGCCCATGCAAATGAAGCCGATATTGAATCTGATCGGCTCTTATAAAATCCGACGAACCGACAAAGTCCCATGGGATTCCGAGTTGAGGAACTACCAACGGATCCCTAGTGTTGGAGTCAGGTGAACATTCGACCAAATCTAACAACCGAATTCGATAGGAATTTCAGGAGTTGGATTCCAACGAGGTTCCTAAAGAAACCTATCGGATTTTGACTGGTTCCTGGAAGAATCGATCGGATTCCAACACTATGGACCCGTGAGTGGGTCCGCGACCCGGATTTGCTTAGAATTCTGCAGGAACCGATCGAATCCGGTTGTATCCGGCTATCGGATTGTTCGTCCTGGGAACAGAATGTGTTTCAAATTCATTTTATCGTACAAAAAATAAATCTCGAATCATGTTTTGCGTATGCCTATTTAATGATGGTTCATGAAGTAAATTTTCTAATATTGAAAATATAGAATCCAATTCTTGTTGACTACGTTGCAATAATTTTTGACCACATTCTTTCAAAAAGCAAACAACTAATTCGACACTATCATTAGTAGAATTCTAAAGTATACAACGCGGAGTAACCAGGTCAAACAGGTTGGTCTGTAAACGATCTTAACCGTTATAAATACAGTGGAATAGGGTGCTTTTGATGAATGATCGTATACGAAGCCACATAAGCATTACGTATCTTAGTCGTACTTTTAGATATCTGTCAAACGATCAGAAGTCGTACTTTTAAAATGCAGTAACGTTGCTTCTTTATTTTTTGCAGACAACACAAAACGCTTTACGGTTTTTTTACTAAGCTGACTTGAGTGATACAATTCCTCGATTGTGGCGCCCACATATAGAAAATCTCTAGCAGTATGAAAATTTTCCTTTTTGTCTATTTATCCATTAGAAGTAAAGACATGCAGAGTTTAAGATCTCCTTGTTTTATTAACAATTTTTTTTCTAACAGACTATTAATTTTGCGAAATATATTTTAGCTTGCAGAGAGAAATACTTATAAAAATAAATATAATGGTCTGTAATTGGGGGAGGGGAGCCGAAAAAATTTCGCTTTTAAACTTATACTCACTGTTTTTTTAAACTATATGCGAGTTGCACAACATAAAACGAATAGTCAATATAAGATAATATGAATTGAATAACTTATAACATTTATATAATAAAGATAAATACTTGCATTTTCCGGGTTTTCTTCAACAAATTAACTTTTTTCAAAGCAAAATATAGTTCAATAATAAGTAAAAATATTCAAAAAAAAAATAATAAAAATAAAAAACTGAAATAAAATGAGACAAGAGAGATTATATGAGCGATTGAGTTGAGTTGAAAACAAAAACATTATTCCGGACGGAATATTAAAAATTAAAATTTATTTTTAACTAAAAAAAGAGAAACATACGGATAGAGTCACTCATTTTTAGTAGAAACAGTGAAATAGTGTAGAATTATGTAGACCATTTCATGTACATGTGGTCACTGCCGTCGTATTTGTACGTCATACCTATGCGTACATTGCCCTACCAGTCTGGCGTGGTCCACTGTATGTGTACCCATTCCATAACCATGGGGGGAGGACTCTCCTTGATCGTGAGCGCGACTAGTGAATATTAATTAATAATCATTAAAAGTATTTTATCAAACGAATACTAGAGAAAATAAACATTTACAACTTCTTTTTCACAAGTTCTATATTATGAATTGCCGTTTTAATACTTGGATGAGTTGACGGGAGACTCTTTCGTCGAATAGCAAGTGCTTTTTCTAGATAGAAAAGTGCTGTCGAGTATTCACCCATGTTTTTATACACTAGACCGATGTTGTTGTAGGAAATAGCCAAATCTGGATGATTCTCAGGCAAAGCTTTCTTCGTTATTTCGAGATCTTTTTCGTAAAATTCAAGTGCTTTCGTATATTCACCGATGTTGTCATATACTCCACCGATGTTGTTGTAGGAAGTAGCCAAACCAGGATGATTAGAAGGCAGAGATATTTCTCCTATTTTCAATGATTTTTCGTAAAATTCAAGTGCTTTCGAGTAATCACCCATACCGTTATACACTAGACCGATATTATTATAATCAGACGCTATATGAGGATGATTTGGAGGAAGCGATTGTTGATTGATTTTATTTGCTTTTTCGTGAAATTCAAGTGCTTTCGAGTATTCACCCATGCTGTTATACACACTACCAATGTTGTTGTAGGATTGAGCCAAATCGGGATGATTTGAAGGAAGAGCTATTTCTCTTATTTTGAGTGATTTTTCGTAAAATTAAGTGCTTTCAAGTAACCTCCCATGTTTTGATACGCAAGAGCGATATTGTTGTAGATAGCACTCAAGATTGGATCGTTTGTCGAGAGAATTTTCTCATTTATCTTCAGCGATTTTTCGTAGAATGTAATCTCTTTTTCATATTGTCCCTGTTGCCATTTGACTCTCCCTAACTCGTAATAGATAAATGCTCTATCACTATCAGTGGAAGCATTCTCGAGTAATTCATTGTAGTTCTTCAGCTTCATCAAAATGGCCCACTTGGAGCATCAATTTACCCATTCTACGCCATCCAGTAGAGCCTTGAACTTCCTCTTTGATGTGATTGGTAAGAGCAGAAAGCTGTGGATCATTATCACCAGTAATAGTCAATTGTACATCCCAAAGACGACTATTCTTAGCTGTCTGTTTAATTTCAACGACACGAAAAATGGTATGCATTGTAAAGAGAATTTCTTGTTCTCCTTTAACAGCAGATTCATCCTCAATCATTGCAAATGGCGTATTCGAAGCTGATATTGTTTTTTGATCGATAGTCATAATAAAAAGGATTCCTATAGTGGCTGTGTTATTGTGCAATGCATCTTGAACAAATTGCATAGATACTTTTCTATCTTTACTAGTGGACAAAAAGCTGTTGAATGAGAGGAGTCCACCTTTCGTGCCTACCAGATGTTGAAAGTCTTCTGGTGTCATACCCTGACCACGATAAACAACAAATTTTTGTTCATACGTACTTAATTGTTTTTGGTGAAGTTGTTCCAGTTGTCGATGTAAATTTCGGATAAAAAAAAACCATTTTCACCATGGCTTCCATATCTAATGACCGCAAGGCTTTATTGAGCATACTATATAGAAAAATATTTTCCGTGTACCACCATATTGCAGATTTCTGGTTGTATTCATTCTGAAAATAATTCAGTTGCTGTTTAGAAACACCTTGATCATGACAATAGGCCACTAAAGCTTTCATCGGCTTTTTGTCATCTTCGTCGATTTCCAGTATAATATCCTTGAACAACATGGAGTACACATACGCGGGTTCAAGTTGATCAATATTTTGTGTTTGTGAACCATCCCCTCCTACAATGGTTTGCTTCGACACAAAGCTCATCGGAATGTTATCATGATCGCAGTGACGGGCCACTTTTTTTAATGATTCACAGATGGGTTTGATTGAGGTGAAAACACCTCGAATCTTAGGCCATTCCTTTGCCCATGATTCATGATGCGCCTTGTTACCGCAAAAAATATAAATGGCATCCACTTTTGGCATACCGTGAATGTCATTTACAAGGCTTTGTCCTAGTGCGCCAGATGAAATGACGAAAGCTTTTCCATCATCAATTTCATTGAGATATTCGACACATTCTTCAGGTGTTGTACAAGGTTTCACTTCACTTGCCACGTCGTGCAGATGTGCCAGCGTATTCTGACAGTTTTCTGTATTTTTATCGATCTTACAATCGACCCAAATAACCAGATAATTTTGTGCCATCCGACGTCTTGGTCGCATGGCACCTGATGATGCTGTTCCACCTGAAGCACCGCTAGCTGTTGACTTTGGAATAGGTGACTTGACTTTTTGTCCACTCATATTAAATTGGTTTTGTTGCTAGATTAAAATCTAAAATTGTGAACAATATTTTGTTATTTAAGCAGATTACTGTTTCTATGTCTATAGTCGTTACCTTCTCTGTTGTTCTCTTTATTTTTCGGTGACATAATCTGAATTTTTTTTCTTTTCTAGTTGGCACAGCAAGAAACTCCGCCTGGCTTCACAATTCAAAATACAATAGCTAGTAGCCAAAGGAACGACGAAAAAATAATTCCAACAGCGCCATTTCTGATATTGTTATTCTTTGCAACATTCGTTTGTTTTACATTTGTACGACAACTGAAGTGCTATTGTGTTGGATATTTTCTCTACCTTTTTCTTTATTTTTCTCTTTTACGTAGCACAAAAAGAATTCAACAATTCAGCTAGTTTGTGATTATAAATGTGAATTATTTTTGTTCAAATAAACGACAGCAGAACGAAAATTTTAAGTTTTTATCAAAATATCAACAACTATCGATATCTGTGAATTATACAGATGTCTGATAGCTATTGGAACAGTACGCACGAGTTAACTGGTTCGAAAATGCGTGACACAATACAAAGAACATTTTATATGTAGATATAACAAACTGCGAAAAATATTGTCTCAATCATCACATAAATTTCATATTAAAATTTTTGTAAACTCTGCCACTGATTAGTTATTCAAATTTTCTTTATTGATACAATCTTATTTTTGAAAGTCAATAGAAAAATTGCTTTGTTTTTTCACTTGAGTCTAATTTCATCGAAAGGTGCGGGTGTAGTTGTTGAATGAACACATACTCGCAACCGCATATGCTATTGGCAGATTTGAACATGGTATACTACCAAAACCTATGGAACCAATGGCAGCATTATACGAAGTAACTAGCCATGTTTTATGAGAAAAGTATTTAACAGAGAATCACCAAGAATATAGGTGAATAAAAGAAAAGAGAGCCAGAATATCCTCGGTATAGAATAGATCACCAGTTGATTTCACCTCTATACTAATATTGAAATTGCTCATCGAATAAAATGCAATGTGAATTAAACCGAGGAATGTTCAAGAACCGAGGCTTAGGAATGCCTACACAGTTTCGTCCATGCAAAAATTTAGAAAAATTCAATATTCACAATATTTTTCGTTGTTACACTCATTTTCATTAAGAACTTTGTGAATACCAAAACTAATTCTGAAAAAGCATCACATTGACTGTCTCGAATGGGAGAAACCATGACGAAACCAATGGGCAATTCGCATTTCCCTAACGAATTATCATGGTGGCGGATCCTTTATAGATTTAGAATTCCCATTTCTCAGTTTGTGTAGTCACATTCTCAAGAATTGTAATATATGATGAGATCAAATTATATATGTATCATAAAGTTTGATGATCCAAAACATTTTTGTATAATAAAAATAAATGAATCAGCGTAACCTATGTATATGCTGCTTAACTGTCAGAGTCATCAAGGAATTTATTGTTTTTTAATGTAGTTAAAGGAGAAGAAAAAAAAACACAATAATCTACCAAAAAAAAAAGTTGCCAGTCACTGTTTTCGGTTTATTTGCTATTCTTCACTAATGATACGACTTTTTGGGCAGCTTTTTCAAAGTCATTTTCAGCGGTTATAGGAAATGAACTTTGATTAAGTATACGACGAGCTTCTTCCATATTTGTTCCTTGAAGACGAACAACAAGTGGAATTTTCAAACCAAGTTTTTTACAAGCTTTTTCAATTCCATTGGCAATTATAGCACAATTGACAATACCACCAAATATATTAACAAGTACAGCTTTGACCTAAAACTAGTATTTAGAAAATTATTTTTCATAAGATAGAGATTTACTTGAGTATCGCTAAAAAGAATTTTAAAAGCATCAAGTACTTGTTCTTCTTTGACACCACCTGAAAAATAAATAATCATTCATTTTTATCAAAATCAATAATGGTAATAGAAAGTACAATACGATAAATTCTACTATTGTTTATAATAGTTCGATTTCCTCAAATATCTATACTAAATTCCTAATTAAATCGGCTCTCATTTTTTTTTTGAAATTTACCTCCAACATCAAGAAAATTAGCTGGTTGTCCTCCGTATAATTTAATAATATCCATTGTAGCCATAGCTAAACCAGCACCATTAACTAGTGAAAAAGTTAAAAAATAACAATAAATTTCATGGAACTAAAAATTCTTTGACTTTTACCAAGACAACCAATATTTCCATGTAAACCGATGTAATTTAAACCTGCATTAGTAGCTTCAACTTCGCGTGGATCACTTTCAGCTGTATCTTCCATATCAAAGACAGGTTTTTGACGAAATTTAGCGTTATCATCAAAACTTAATTTAGCATCGAAATTGATAACTAAATAAGAGAAAACACAATCGAATTTGTTTCATTTTATGTCATGCAATTACCTCGTTTGTCTGGTGTTTCACCGAATGGATTGATTTCTAATCAGACAGAAAACATTATAAGTATTGAAATTATATTAAAATTTTACCTATTTGTGTACAATCATATTTTAAAAATAATTTGTATAATTTGAGAATCTGATCTGCGGCCTAAAGAAACAAATCGAAATGCGAAAAATCGATTGAAAAAAGAAAACAGACTTCATTCGCTAATTTGTCTTTAAATCCAAGTTTCTTAGCCATATCTAAAGCTTGTTCTTTCTTCATGCCAGTCACAGGGTCAATGGCGGTCTAAAAATTTCGAAACAATTCGTTTTTTAGTCTTTCAATTTTCAATAGAAAACGTTTTACGGTAAAAATTTGATCGGGATGTTTTTCTGCTACTTCCTCAATATCAACACCACCCATTGGTGAACCCATCAATACAGCGCCGCCATATGCACGATCAAGTAAAATAGCTAAATAAGTTTCACGTGCGATATCCAAAGCTTCAGCGACCATAACCTTTCAAAATGAAAAGATATATTTGTTTCATGAGTATTTTTATTTTAAATTTATGTACAAACCTTTTGTACTTCAACACCTTCTGGTGGAGTTTGTTTTGTTACGAGACGATATTTAACCATTTGTTTTACAAGATTACCACATTCAACAGGACTATAAACAAATAAAAAAATAGCTTGTATATAATTGATAATGATATGAAATTTACTCTTTGGTAAGTTTAACACCACCTTTTAATCCACTATCGAATGTACCTTTACCGCGGCCACCAGCTAAAATTTGCGCTTTAATAACTAATTCTTTAGCAATTGTTTTCACTAAAAAACAATAATTTGCTTTTCTATTATTTTTCTACTAATAATATCGATTCCTACTTAATTCTTCTCCTGCACGTTTAGCATCTTGTGCATTGTCAACAACTTGAAAACGTTGTACATTGAGGTTATTATCATTTAAAATTTTCTTGCTTTGATATTCATGTAAACTAATCCAACGGCGTGACTTCAAACAAAAACAAATAAATGCATGTAGTCATCGAAGAAGAATTGTTTATCTTCGTGAATACCTGATATGCTGTCGTACAAACAGCTGAATTTTGACGAGCAGCTGAATAGCAGAGGCGAAGTACTGCTTGAGATTTCATCGGTTTTCCTTTTAGTTTCTACCGTGAGTAAAAAGAAAAAAAATAACCATTGCTTTTTAGATGAAAACAACACGGCATTGATTGGTAGAATTCATTTGAACGAAAGGTTATATCATTTTTTGTAAAAACACACGTATTTGTATAAGATTAAGATGTGAAAAATCGAAAACAATATGCAGATTTTATTTTGAAAATAAATTTATTTTAAAGCGACCTCTACATATTGGTTACTAAGTAACGAAAAATCTTTATATAATGGTTATGCACGTCTAAGTAGTTATATATACTATATTTTAAAGAATTATGGCAGGAAGAGGCCGTGGACGTGCACCAGGAGAATATATTAGTGTACCACCTAATGCAGCATCGCATGTTGATGCTTATTTTGAATATCGAGCGTATTTATAAAATATGACAAACACATGAACTATTTTTTAATTTGTTGTTTTTTTTTGATAGTATTGTTGGTGATGATGATGGTGGAAAATTATTCACGCCAGAAGAATATGAAGAATACAAAAGACAAGTTTTACCAATGGTATAAATTTTATTAAATTAGATATTATATTACATGAAATCAAAAACACACTTTAAAATTTAACAAATATTTATTTAAACATAGAAACCGATGAATTTTTCTGTTCTGTTGAGTAAAAATGAGTTTTAGAGATATATTTCTTTTCGATTGATTAGATTAAATTATAAATGAGCATTTGATTAGAATATAGGAGACAACAATTAAGATGCTCGTCAAGATTTTTGATTCAATAAACGATACTTTTGCAGATGGATGGGATGCTGTATAGACATTATCAGGACTCAATGCTTGTTTATATACGTACATAGAAAAGAGATGTCATCTATAATTTAAATATTTTAAGCGTCTACACAATCGATTATTTATCTCATGGGTAAATCCCCAAGGAATGGATTGTATTCTAATTGGGCCACAGCATAAATGTCTTTGTCGTCATAAGTAAATTGCACCACGAATTCATAGTAAATGCCTATTGTTTTATTTGACTCTAGATTTACTGAACATAAAACGGATTTTCCTGAAATTCCGACTGAAAGACCCATTCTTATTTCATGTCGTCAACCCGGTTGTCGTTGTGTTTCATTTGAATATGTTGCAAACTCATCGGGTTCAAGTGATCCAAATTGTCGTTGTAAACATTCGCTTGATAATCATGCAACACGTTCACCATATAAATGCCAAAAAAGTATTCGCTAGTTTTGTTTTCTTCTTTTAGTAGAAAAGAATAAAATTGGCTTTCATTTTTTTTATATAGATTGTAATTGTACTGGATTTTCCGCTCCAGTTACATGTACATGCGGTGAACCAGCTTACAAGCATGTAACGCTAGTTGAAACAAAAGAAGAAAGAGAACGACGTGGTCATCCAACGGGTTATGCAACACCTTATAAAGCTATGGGTGGTTTAACTGGATTTAGTTCACTAGCTGAAGGATATTTACGACTTGATCCTAGTGGAAGAGGTTCGACCAACGATAGAATTTTCTTCTTTTTTAAATAGAAATATTGTTTTTTTTATCAATAGGCCGACCGGATGATGATTTTTTAAATCAACCAATAACTGCTATGGATCATCCGATTCTTCGTGCACACGCATCGCTTGATCCTAATAGTAAATACGACAAATTCTTTTACAAAAAAGCATTTCATGTGGTTTTCTGTTCTAAGGTTCTGAAGCACAATCACAATTGCGTCGTCCTGGTGAATCAGAACTGGATTATTATGAACGTCGTTATCAAGAACGAGTAAATAATGTTTGTTTCCATGAGTTTCTGGCTTAGATCTATTTATTTTAGCAACGTCTATCACGTGGTATTCGTCAAGCACCTAATCCTTATGATAACGATGCGAAATTGACTACTGGTATTCGATATGATAAATCACCGCCACGGCGAATTACTGGTGGCAAAAAATAAAACAACTTTTTTTCCACGGTGAAAAAATGTGGGTTGCTTTTTTTATATTATTCTTGGGTTTATAAATATAAGATAAAGAAGCCGGTGAATAGAAACTGAAGTTTTAGAAAAAGCCAAAGATTGCTGTAACACATGCGAAATATCAATTCTCAATTTTCACATATAACTGAAGTTTAATGCGACGGATAACCTGGTTAGTCTTTTGAGTTAAAGACACGTCATTGTGTATACCACTTTAAGTTTTCGAGGATTATGTGAAATGGTTTGATCTTATGAGCTCGACCTTTATAGGGCATATCGAGTTAAATGATACAAAAATCAAATGTCATCAATATAAGAAAATAATCTTCTATCTTAGTATATAAACTGAAATATTACTGATATATCAGAATATTATTTAATATAGAGCAATCGACCAACGATGAAATCGGCAGCAATGATGGTCGTACTTGTGACGCTACTCTATTATGTGCCCTTCTCAATAGGTAATATTCATGTTATAGATCTAGATCCGATAGTTTCAATTATATTTGTGTGTGTGTGTGTTCTTTTCTATCATTAGGCCAGCATCCCACCATTGTACAACTGGTGAAGAGAAATGATCAGTTCAAATTGCTCGCTTTGGCGTTAGAAGCTGCCGGTGTAACTGAAGCAAACGAAATGAAAGGTCCATATACTCTATTTGCTCCGAATGATGCAGCTTTCGCAAAAGTACCAGTATCAGTTGTTGAACGCTTATCGGATCCAAAGAATGTAGAAGAACTTTTTCGAGTACTTAGCTACCATGTTGTTGTCGGGAGAGCTTTAACAGCAGCTCAACTACAAGCAATGAGTTCGCCAACACGTCTCAAAACTCTAGCAGATGATTTTCTTACAGTTGCTGTCCGTAATAATCAAGTCAAAATTAACAATGCAACTGTGGTTGCGAAAGATTTACAAGCTAGCAACGGTATCATTCATACCATTGACTCAGTTTTGATGCCGCCAGCTACGAGTGGCTGAAGAATGTTCACTTGCTTTTTTTCAGTATTTTCTTTGTAATAGGAGAAAATGGGATGCTTGTGAATTACTTTAAAATAGATTTAAACTAACATCAATACGAATTTTGTCGTTAGTTCTATTTAATCGAGTTTTGCCTCATCAAGTGAAACATATTTATATCGATTATTTGTTGAATAAGAAAGCACATGTCCGGATATACATTTGCATAAATTGAAGTAGAATCGTTCGATTCTATTTGCTTAATTATTCATCTGCTGACATGCTTAGTAAATATTGTTTTAACTAATAGAAAATATGTTTCATTCTAACTTCTTTGTGAAGAAAGTCAAGCCTTCAACAATGTCCCATTCTGCTAGTTAAACACGATTGTAGCTGATGAAGGGCTCTAATAGCTACACAATGTCTTGCAATAATTTTTAGGCAAAATTATTTCCCTGTCTCATACAAAAAGCAGTTAAGGGAGAGAAGATTTTGGCTTATACATGCATTACAGAAGCACAATCTTTTATTGATGAAACTCTGACGTTCATTACACGTGGAAATAAAAAAAAATCATCAAAATGACTCGACAGTTACTTTTTATATAAAATAGAAAGCACTACAGAGAAAAAATAGAGTTATTTGATAGTTAACTTTCACACTAGGAAGTATCCATGGCGTATGTAGCGCAGTACTTATGCATTGAGTTGTGAGGCTTGCTGATGTGTTTCGAAATCGGCTACATATTGCGATTAAATCGTACCATTATTGGCAAATATTGTTGTTGAAGTTCTAATAATCTAGATTCGCAATGTTCTTGGTCAGGCAGCTGAACACAAAATAAAATTAAACGTTCAACGTGTTCTCTTATGAATTAAAATGTAAATCAGATCCAACTCATGTCTATTGTAGCTCTCCCGAAAATTACAGAGGGCATATCAATACTTTTATCCCGGTCTTCTCTAGCTATGTACTTGAACACCTACTGCCTATTCGTTTTCATAAAATGATAGAGACACTAGTTTTCTTACTGGGTCTGTTTGCAGCCAAGCTAATATTTCTTCAATACTATTAGTTATTTTCTTATAATCAAAAACTGTAATATTGTGTGTTGATACTTTATTGTTGATGACTGTGTTTATCTCAAAACAATATGATTCAATTTTATTCTTAGCTTCGATGCGATCATGCCGTATCTTGTCTTCTCTTCTATATGTTTCAGCATCAGCGATCATACGTTCAATTTCATTTTGCGATAAACATTCTCGATTATTTTTCACTGTTATTTCTTTTCTGTTTTCAGAATCTCTGTCCACAGCTGAAACAGTTAAAATACCATTTACATCAATATTAAATGTAACTTCGATCTGTTTTTCACCACTAACTACAGATGAAATTCCATTGAGTTCAAAACAATCAAGTAAATTGTTGTCCTTCGTCATGGCGCCATCACCTTCGAAAACTTTGATACTAATTCCAGAAAAATGTCGTGTAAAAGATGATTCCTTATGTATTTTTTGTTTTCGAAATTTTGGAAAGCATTTGGTTGACTTTTGCACGCTCACAATCTGTTTTCTTTCATCCGTATGTATCCTAACAGTTTGTGTTGCTCTTATTGGAATTGATGAATTACGACGAATTATGGGTGTCATAACGCCACCCACTGTTTCAATACCCTGACAGAAAAACAAGTATGTAAGAGATCTTTCTTAAAGCTCACTTACCAATGAAAAGGGTGCCAGTTCAAGTAGAAGTAAATCTGGAACTATTTTGGATTCATCACGAACTAAAATAGCTGCTTGAATGGCGGCTCCACAAGCAACAGCTTCATCTGGATTGATCGATCTATTTAATTCTTTTCCATTAAAAAAATCTCGTAGCATTTGTTGTAGCTTTGGAATACGTGTTGAACCGCCAATAAGAATAATATCGTCAATACTATTTTTATCCATACGAGCGTCTCGCAAAGCCTTCTCTACTGTTTCAAGCGTTGAATGACATAAATCAAAATTCATATCTTCGAAACGCACACGAGTTATTGTTGAATAAAAATTGATGTCTTCATATACCGATTCAATTTCGATTGATGCTTGCGATAATGACGATAGATCTAGCTAAAATAAATCAAAAGAATCAATTAAACTTTCACGTAAAAATGTTAAATAAAAAGTCAATATACTTTCGCACATTCACAAGCAGTACGTAAACGACGAATAATCCGCTTATTTTCTGATATATCTTTACCATGTTGCTGTTTAAATTCTCGAACAAAATGATCAACCAATCGGATATCAAAATCTTCTCCGCCCAAATGTATGTTGCCTAGCGTAATGATAAAAAAACATGAGTTTTGTTTCTAAAAGCTGAACGTCTTATTATTTACCGGCTGTTGATTTAACTTCAAAAACGCCATGATCGGTGCTTACAATTGATACATTAAAAGTGCCACCACCCAAATCAAAAATGAATACATCTTTCTCATTTGTAATTCTTTTATCAAAACCATAAGCAAGCGCCGCTGCCGTAGATTCACTGATAACACGTAAGACATTGAGACCGGCAATAGTGCCAGCATCTTTTGTAGCTTGCCGTTGTGAATTATTGAAATAATCTAGCACAGTAATAACAGCGTCAAAAACTGATTTACCAACATAAGCTTCTGCCATGTCTTTCATTTTCGTTAATATCATCGATGATATCTCTTCAACTGTAAGCAATTTTGTTTCATTTTTATGTTGAACTTGAATTTTAAGAGTACCGTTGTGATTAATTACTTTGAATGGCCAATATTTCATATCGTTTTTTAGAATAGGATCATCAATTTTACGGCCAATTAGCCGCTTTGCATCGAATATTGTATTTTTCGAGTTCATAGCTGCTTGACTTTTAGCTTCACTTCCAATTAATCGCTCAACATCGGCGAATGCAACATATGATGGTGTTGTTCGATTGTCTTGTTCATTGGCGATCACTTCAACTTTACCATTGCGAAATATAGCGACACTTGAATAGGCAGTACCTAAATCAATACCTACTGCTACAGCCATAGGTCACCGTTATAACTAGAGACTCCTAGATTTTATGTGCCTGATAAATTCTTTCTTTAAGTTTTGTGAGGTTTCTAAAACTAGAAATACATTTTTTACTAGTTCAGTATGAAGACGAGAATATTTTAAAAGAAAAAAAGCTCTATAACCATGTTTTGAATTGAAGTTCATCATATGACAGAAAAACAAATATTGGTAATGTGATATACCTGTAAGAATTTAGTTTACTCAGTTGTCTAAGGCTCTTATCCTCACTTAGATCGGGATTGAAAGACGTTTATCATAAGTCCCGCTCTGCTACGGGTACGAGAAATCTCAAGGAAATAAAATAAAAATCTTTCATTAATAAAGGGCCGAGAAATAATTATTAGGAAATGCAGTGTTGTTAATATAAATGCAGCAAAATAAAATAAAATTCTAGTATAAGGATGAGAAATAATAACAAAAAGAGGAAAAAAGACAGATGCCATCAGGCTGGGGAAAACAAAGACACCATGATCACTGGAATAATCGAAGAGAATCTATATAAACCATAAAAGCTCAATTGAATGTAACGAAATAATTAGCGGCAATAGAGTGTCGCTCTGAGTGTATGTAGAAGACTACTTTCACACCCGCTAATAATCAAGAAGAAAGGGTCAGAAATATAAAGACGAAACACAATGTATACATGGATCTCGTCGGATACATACATAAGTAGTCATTCTTTTTCCTATTACTGATATTTTTCTCATGATTACTAGAGTTCTTGAAGAACGCCGGCAATATAGAATAGTAACTTATATTTCGCCGAAAACAATCTATGTAATTTGCAAGAATCTCACACGCAGCTATCACCAGTGCGAATTGTTTCGAACATCGCTACTCAGTTTGTTTTAAATCATAAACTAGACACTTCCGTAACAATTTCTCAAAAGAGCACCCGTATCTTCACTCATAATAGAATCTATTAGCTAATTAACCAAAAAATACGAAAACGAGATTACCAAATGAAAATATCAACTTATTGATTCGCGAAGGAAAATATTGACTAATTCACATACCAAGAATCAGAACGAAACTACTACAAAAGAATTTCAATGTCTTGATTTGAGGACAGTCAAGTAACTCACTTACATGCATAGATGTCATAATACCTTTACACTGGGTATCGAGAGTTTTACGTCACAATACCCTATGCAGGAATAGTTTATGGAGTATCCATTCTTAGTGCATCTACAATCTGATGTAACCACATTAAGCGTATCCACTTTTGGGTATCCACATTTATGTATATGTATATGTTTTGAAAAGCTGAGGAATTTGAACTGTTTTGGTGTATCCACTTTTCGGTATCCACATTTGGGTATTCACATTTGGGTATCCACATTTATATATATATATATGTTTTGAAAAGCTGAGGAATTTGAGTTCTTTTGGTGTATCCACTTTTTGGGTATCCACATTTATATGTATATATATGTTTTGAAAAGCTGAGGAATTTGAGTTCTTTTGGTGTATCCACTTTTTGCGTATGCACATTTATATATACATAAATGTGGATATCCAAAAAGTGGATACACCAAAACAACTGAAATTCCTCAGCTTTTCAAAGCATATACATATGTATAAATGTGGATACCCAAATGTGGATACCCAAAAAGTGGATACCCAAAATTGAAGACGCTTAATGTGGTTACATCAGATTGTAGATGCACTAAGGATGGATACTCCATAAACTTGCTGCATAGGGTATTGTGATGTAAAACTCTCGATACCCAGTGTAAAGGTATTGTGACATCTATGTTTCGCTCTGTATTTTGAAGATACTCTTACCAAAAGGACATACTTTTTTAAAAGTAACGACATCATCTGAAAGCTCGTGAAATTTCACACCATCCTGTGTATATGCATTTTCATTTAAACTTATTTATTACCAGAAAAAATTGATTTATGATAAAATACAAAATAAACGAGTGGAAAATAATAAGCAATATATGCTGATTATCAGGGCAATAAAGTTAGGTTGAAATTTTTGGGAAGTCATGTCCGTAATCTGAAACGTCTCCGTTTGTTTATGAGAATAGTATTTGTGTTTTTCATGTATTTGTTTTTTCAAAGCTTATGATCTTCTTTACTGTTATTTATCGATTTGTGAAAAACTTTTATAATGATCCTCGAATTAGCGACTTATTTCCGTAGAAAAAATTACATAAGGATCTTGGCTACAGTTGAACTGTTTATAACAGCTTCATTAAAACGATTTTCGAGCAGGGCAGTTAAAAAACAGTAAAACAATTCAACAGAAACTATGTATAAAACATCCTATATTTTTAAACAAGTGCAATCGGAGGCCAGATATAAATTTCTCTTGAGGGTGTGTGTGTGAGTGTGGGAGGATAATCACAAATGAATTAACCCACACCCACACCCACCCTCGTAGGCGAATTAAAATTGTAAATACAATGGTGATTTTATAAAGTTTATTTCAATAGATAATTGAAACGCGTTTATTAGAATACGTGAAAGATAGAAAATCAAAACTAATTTCAAATTATTATAAATCAAGATCAAAGCATATAAATATAAATACAAAGTAGAAAAAACGTAACCAATTTACTCAGCAATGCGTGGCACTTTTGCTAAGTGACTGTACTTATCTGACGATCGAATCTGTTTCAAAAGATTTGGTTCTTTTTAAAGATAATCATAGAATTGTGCGCAAGTAAAATGAATGTTCATTTTAATCTTCAATTCAGCTCCAACTAAATCATGGCTCATTCGATTTCTATTGTCATTCCATAAGTATTTCATATGACTAAAGATTGTTTCACAAAATGCATTTGAAGCAGGAATAGAAAATACGAATTGAACAAGCTTTTTTAAGTTAGGAACATCTTCACCATCAATTAAATACACCCACAAAAGATCAACTCTCACTGGATGATTTTCTTTTTGATTTTTATGACATCTGGCATCACGCTCATCATCATCGAAATCAAAATCATGTGTACTTCATCTTCAGATTCATCACTTAAATTTTGACCATCACTATCATTCGTTCGTGCTTCAGCTCGTTTTGATACACCTAAATTTGATGAGAAATGATTCTATTTGCTTATTAATGCCACCGAATTTTTCTTTCGATTCAATATATTTCGATTTTATATTATTAAAATCATTATATAAACCATCTAGATCTAACATTTCATTATTGATATAAGTGGTACAATGTTGGATATTTTTCCATTCGATTCTCTCGATATTTATTTCATTGAAAATAGAAATCGCTTCATAAAATGATGCATTATTATTATCATATTTTTCAATATAGCTGATAACTGAACGAATAAGTGATGTGAAAGATTTTTTTAAATCACCGACTTCGGTCGAACTTTGAATGTTTTTCAACAATTGATCAACTTTACAGCCAAAAAAATCATCACGTAAACGGTATATCAGACGTAATGAGACAACACGACCTCCTATCAATTGCAGGACGTTTTCACAATCATGATTGAACATTGATAATGACATTGTTGAATCACCAATACGAATGTGCCACACATACTCATTTACTATGATTCTGAATAAACGTTTACTCAACGGAAAAAAAGATTTAACAACATCAATCGAAGACAACCAAAAATTTCATAAAGAATATCGTTAGACAAAATGTCTAATGAACTATAGCTCATGTTTTCTTTTTTTCTTGTCTACTGCACAGTCATACTCGAGTATATATTGTCGCATACACACAATGGCATACATCCGTCTGTCTCGTTTGACGAGTTATTGTTTTTTTTAATTCTCTCCTTCGTTCCAAACTAATTAATTTGAGGAAAACTTTGGCTTCTATTATTATCATTGAAACATAATTCTATACGAAGATAAAATCAGGGGTGCGCAGAATAAATAAGCCTCTGACTCATGATTCATGATGTCCCGTAGGCTTATCGCCCGTTGGGGCCAACCACTGTGCGGATTAGTTTCTTCCATATCCGAAATAAGCCTCTGGGTATTTCTTAAATAATTTTTGTTTTTCATTCTCTGGATTGAAAAACACAAAAGTTATTTCTTCATGGTTTTTCGTTGGCTAGTAACTACAAAAAATAAACAAGACAGGCAGATCGAAGTCCTTGAAAAGCTCTATCAATCGATCCGAACTATATAATTTTCACGCTAATATTTGCAGTGTACTTCAAACTACATCTACAATTTCGGTGCTCTTGAGAAAATATCATCGTTTGACACAAGGGGGAAAAAACTGATTTCTGATACTAGAAATCACTAGAAATCAAGAATGACAAACTAAGGTTCATCTTCAAGTGAAATTATGAATTTTCGTCTTTCACACACCATCTGCTACAGAATTTTATGGCGATCACGAACATATGTTTTTCAAGTTATTTCAAAGCTTCCTTCAGTTCAAAAAATCAAAAAAACCTGTCTTTTCATTGTTTTTTGTAAAATTGAATTTCGTGCACTTATGAATCTACTTAGATACGCAAAAAGGGCATATTCTTGTTTAGCTTGAACAACTGAATCAGAAAATATCTTTAAAATTATTTTTTGACCTAAACAGTTGCCCGTGAAAGCCTCTACAAGCACAATTTTCAAAGCCCAAAAATTATTTTTTTAAAACCTTTCAAAAGATTTTTCTGATGTGCTGGAATCGATTTTTTTGCATGGTTCGATCTGCCAGAAGCTTCTCTTTAAAAGAGTACGAGGAGTTTTTCAAAATTGTTTTCCTTCCTGGAGAAAAGTGAATTTTACCTAAAACTATGCGAAAACCTAAAAACCGTTTTCAGGATTTTTGGAAGTTTCCCCATTAATACAATGGAGACAACACCAAGTAGGTTAAAAACGATGCGGAATTTGATGGAGACACAACGGAAATCTCCAGGTGGTTTCTAGAGGGTTTTTGAAGGGATTTTTATGTATCTACATGGAAGAAATGATTCATGGGTGAGTTTTTTAGGTGAGGCTTGCTATTCTCAAGGGTGTGGGTGTGCGTGTTTGTGGGCTTGGGTATGGTTGTGGGTTCAAAAAGTCTATATCTATGCTAACAACCACAGCCACAGCGACACCAAAACCACTTAAATATTCATTTAGTTGTGGCAGCATTCATACAGAGAAGAAAATCCGAAAAAATTTTAACTTTCTTATGAATAGCACACCTCACTTAAAAAAATACACTCATGAGCCATTCCTCCCATGTAGATGAGTGAAAATCCACGAAAACCCTTCAAAACCTCTCTAGGAATCACCTGGAGATTTCCGTAGTGTCTCCATCGAATTCCACACCGTTTTTAACCTACTTGGTGTTATCTCCATTGAATTATTGGCGAAACTTCCAAAAGTCCTGAAAACGGACTATTAGGTTTTCGCATAGTTTTAGGTAAGACCCAAGTGTTTCCACGAAGGAAAGCAATTTCGAAAAAATACTCGTATAATTTTGAAGAGGAGTGTCTGACGAATCGAACTATGCAAAGAAATCAATTCAAGCACATCAGAAAAATTTTTTGAAAGGTTTTAAAAAAAGAATTTTTGGGCTTTGAAAATTGTGCTTTCAGAGACCTTCACGCGCAACTGTTTAGGTCAAAAACAAATTTTAAAGATATTTTCTGATTCAGTTTTTAAAGCTGAACAAGAGTATGTCCTTTTCGAATATCTATGTAGATTCATAAGTCCACGAATTCAATTTTACAAAAAACGTGGAAAAAGCAAGTTTTTTGAAAACCTGAACATTTTTTAATTTTTTGAACTCAATAGCTTTGAAATAACTTGAAAAACATATATTCGTGATCACCGTGAAATTCTGTAGCAGATGATGTGTGAATGACGTAAATTCATAATTTCGCTTGAAGTTCGTCTTGCGCGAACCTTAGTCTGTCATCCTTCATTTCTAGTGTTTCCAATGATTTCTAATGGTTTCCAATGATTTGTACTGGTTTCCAGTGGTTTCCAGTGACTTCTAGAATCAGAAATAGCAAGGGAAAGTTGATTTCTAATATCAGAAATCACTAGAAATCACTGGAAATCACTAGAAATCACTAGAAATCATTGGGAATCACTAGAAATCACTAGAAATCATTGAAAATCACTAGAAATCTCTAGAAATCATTGGAAATCACTAGCAATCACTGGAAATCACTAGAGCTGACCACCAATCGAGACATCAGTTTTTCCCCCTTGATTTGACATCAAAATATTTTTGATTTTGATGAAAAACGCGCATCTCAGGATTGCCGAAAACATTCTGTACAAACACACCCACAATGCATACACCCTCAGGTTGTTCTCCATTCTGATGATATACATTCTGCTGGGTAAGTCTTAAATAGTGCCCGTTGTCATTTCTGATGGCATAGCATGTGTTCTTGAGAGTCCTAAATATTGGTCGCTGTCATTTCTGATGATATAGCATGCTGCGGGGTTGGTGCTAATTAGTGCTCGTTGTCATTTCTGATGACACACCATATGATATACAAAGTCCTAAGTAGTGGACGTTGTCATTTCTGATGACATAGCATGCTGCTGGGTTGGTCCTGAATAGTGGTCGTTGTCATGAGAAATTACAATGACTAGTATTTAGGAATTTCAATAACACATGGTATGTCATGAG